GTTTTGCCTCAGTGAACGCCAGCCTCCGGGGATGAATCACAGGGACCGTTAGTTCGGAAAAAAGGAGGTCTTCAAACTCCGTTTAGAGGCTTGTGCTGCTGATGTTTTCATTTGCTTTTCTTGAAGCCACGGGGGTCTCTACTAGTTGGGCTGGCGTGCCCTCAAATGCATCACACTGGCAGTTAATCACTTAGATCTCCAGTAAAAGAGGGGAAAAAACAAACAGCCAGGCTAAGTGAAATAGAAGAAAGTGCACGACAGGGGAAAGAAATATTGCAGGTGGCTACTGCAAATAGAAATATATGATATACAACAATTATTTTTATATAAACTGTACTTTTTATAGATCCCTGCATAGATACCTGCATTTAGAGTAACTTATGAACTTAAGGAAACTACTGGCATTCTCTTGATGAATGACAGGCTGAAGTTATGTTTACTGACACCCCGGAAATTGCAGCTCCAACAGCTTTTAATCAGGTTCGCCAACTGAAGTATCATCTTTGAGTAGCTACTGGCAATACGAGTTACAACAGGGGAACGGTTTGCAGACGTGAGAAAAGGAGGTTGAAGTGACCGGTGAGCTTGTGCTGCTTTTGCATTTCAGCTAACAAACCTGCTTGTTGCTTGTGAAATGAATTTGTACGATAGCAACTAACACAAGAAGCTGGTGAATGTCTTGGCACGGCTTAAGCAGCTAAGCTAACAAGCTCGCTAGCGTGGGAAGCTTTTTTTCCTTAAATCTTAAATGGATTAAATTATGTAGAATCCTAAAGAATGTTGATTTGACTTCACACGGACTTCGCTTGAATCCTCTGGGCTTGCACTTGCTATTGGCTGCATTACGCAATCATAAAATAAAACTATCATTAGAAATAATATTTCCCTTAATAAAATCCTGAACCTGTGTCAAATTGGTTACAAATGATTTGCGAATAAATGTTGGAAAAAAAGAAAAGGAAGCACCATGGAGGTCTCTCATCTGAAATAAAACCAAACTAAAATAAGATACACTGAAACTGCATGCTTCAAATGTCAGTAATCTCCTTTTCCTCACAATGTTTTCAGTAAATCCCCTCAAATCAACCTTCAACAAACGGGGCACAATATCAAAATAATAAGTACGGGCACGCATCGCCTCATTGGCTCATAGTTTTGCAGCCAGGAAAACATTCCATGTCATACACACCAAGATGCATTTCTACAAGCCGTGTTAATTGATACCAATTTATTCTCTCTGTTGGACAGATTTCCCTCCGACTCCCCCTCGATGTGATGCTCTCAGGTCCAACAGAGGCGCAGATGCTGTGAATGAGCAAGTGTCTCTGAGCTCCTCGTAACGTCCGCACAAACCAACCCACACACACTTAGGCTGCTCTCACACAGCAACCTCACGTGCAGTCGTGTCCAAAACAAAAGGCAAATATCAACATCTCAATGGAAAGCTTAAGAAAACGAGGCCTTCGTCTGCGGTTGATTAGGGAACGTGCATCTCACATTTTGTGTGTGTGTGTGTGTGTGTGATGTATACTATGCACTGAAATGAAACAAATCTCTTTACGGTTGATGGAGGGATCAACTGAAGGCGGTTGCAGTCTGCCACACACACACACACACACACACACACACACACACTCTCTCTCTGAATCCAGCCCTAAGACATGAACACAGATGGACACACACACGGCAGCCCTGCTGAAACCCCCCCCACTAACCAGCCTCTACAGAAGACAGACTGCTGTGGGAGGTGGAGGCAGGGGCCGGGTGGGGTAGCAATACCACGGCTCTCCGCTGCTCCTCATCTGGCTCGCCTGTGGACAAAGCGCCTGCGTTAGGAGTGCAGGTCACGCACGCACAGGAATGCAGATGGGCTGCAGAGCCTTTCCGTCCCGCCACTCAAGAGAGACTCTGGGTGTTCAGAGCCAGATGAGCAGTGTGAGCACACGGCACTGTGGCCTTTGTTTGCGGCTTTCGTTGCGAGGCTTCCGCAGGCCTGTGTGTGTGTGTGTGTGTGTGTGTGTTTTCATTCGCCTGATTGCCCGTGTGTACATAAACCTGCAAAATGTGTGTGCAAGCAAACAAGACACCAGTAGAAACGGCCTTTTCTGCAGCGCCAGCAGAGGTGCACAAACCTCGCAAATAAATTGTTGGTGGTAAAAAAGAAAATAATTCAGGACTGTGTCCACGAATCAGCGAGTGTCGGCTGCAAAGTACAAAGTTCTTCACTCGGCTGAGGCTCCGGGTCGGCGCCGACGTCTCCTGCAGTTTCCAGATAATACGCTCGGTGCAGCCACAGTTTGGCCCTGTGACTTAATCCGTCTTGACGTCCAAATGGAAGCACGGTGGTTAAAGCTGCTCTCGGCTTTAACAGCAGTGGCGCAGAGAAACAAAGTAACAATTACTAAAGCACCGTTGTTAAGTACACATTAGAGATGCTTATTGCACTTTTGACTCTCGGAACCACCTGGAAAGAGGAAACTAGAAGGCTAAAAAAATAAATAAAGGAAAAATGAGACATGGGGGCGGAGGGCAGCTGACCTCACGGGCTGCAAGGGACCAGATGGAGGCAGAGAACCGTGGCCTTATGAATATTAGACGTTGGTCAGCGGAAAGCTGACTAACTACGACATTAAAATACTGCAAACATGTTAAAGCATCCGTATTGATACATTATTTTAAAAGTAAAAACCGAAAGAAAGGTAGTTGTCCAAACACCTGTGCAATGAGTCGGCTACTCATTTTATGCTTTCAGAGATTTTTCTTGTGAAAAATGCCATAGAAGAAAGCACAGCCAGCCACACATTGATCCCACTGACAATTATCAACTGACCGACGATCCAAAAAGCACCGTGACGTGTCCTTTCATTACGTCCTTCAACGAGTCCTTTACAAGTGCACTACTTCGTGACTGAAGTGATTCTAAAAAAAAAAATCAGTAGTCTTTCCTTTAATATTTTGCATTAGTAACAGCGGTTAGCTCGTCCAGTTCTATTATAAAACCTGCTTTCTGTTCCTAAATGATCCAGTTGATCTTCTGAAAGAGAATTAAGTCGGTTTAGAATGCAAAACGTGAAATATGGTGATATGAATGAGCCGCGTGACAGTAGAAAGCCATTAAATGGAATTGATCAGAAGCACTCGGAGGTCTGATGACTCGAGAGATGGAGACGCTCCTCCACGTCCTCAGCTCGTTTTCTTGCGTCGCCACGCCGACCTCAGACACGCGACGGCTCCGGTTTTCATTTTACTGAACGAGGCCGTCGCAGAACGCCACGGCAACTATTGAGCTCCTTCGTCAGCGTTTCACCGTTCTGCTGAGCGACTTTCAGAGCGACGAGGCCGTTCATCTCAACAAAGACAGCAGAGCTCCTGCAGCTCAAGGGGGAAATCAGTAGGCAACTCTACCGATGAGGTGTGTGTAGCACATCTATATGTGGGTGTGTGCACATTACACTTCAGCTGCGGTCAGAGCACTCACACCACCTAGTGGCACCGAGGCCACGAAGATGAAAAGACGGACAACACGATCCGTGCACATCCTTTCAAGCTTCCCATTCACTACAAAGCAAGCGTGAGGTAGAACATCAAAAAGAAGTCACACGGAGTTAAAGAAGGATCATTTTAGCAGGGGGGGGGGGCGTTAAAGTAGTGAAAGTGCTCAGGAGGAAAGGCAAAGGTGAAAAAGACAAATAAGTCGAGCGAGGTAGAAACTGGTCCGGAGGGGGGTGAAAGGGTGAACCGTGGTCGCGCCCCCCCACCCCCAACCCCAACATCCATGTGCAGCTCTCCACCCCCAGGCCGCGCAGCTTCACAGAGAGGCTTTTTGATTGGCAGGACGGGAGAACCCTAATCCCGTGTTCTGCATCCTTTTGTCCGTCCTTCCTCACTCCCTCCCTCCCTCCCACATCAGAGGGAACACTCCGCCTTCATCTTCCTACAGCTGAAGACATGTATGATGTTTAGCGTCTACATAAATCCCCCCCCCCTCCCCCGTGTAATCGCATGTTTGCACGTGGTGGTCTGAGACATAAACACATTATTACGTTATTTGTGCGCCGTGTCAGATTTGGAGCGAGCATCCGTCCCCGACTCAGGCCACATTTACACATAGCCGGGTATTTACAGAAACAAATATTTTTGCCCCTCCGTTTTCAAAAAAATTTTGTTTATATGAACGCATAAATACGGCCCCGGACGCCATCATAACTACGCCAAACCTGTAGTCGGCAGTGTAACGAGAACGATAAAGACATTCAAACCAATCAGAATTCTCAAAACAAACAAGTCGCATACTGTGACGTTTGACAACCTAAAACGCCGTTGGATCGAGTTCACACGCAAACACAAAAACAGAGTTTTCAGAAATTTCCACTTTGGCCGGAGTTTTTAGAAATGATCGTTTTCCGTGATAAAACCTCCGTTTTTGTGTAAATGAAAAATATACGTGTTTTCCTGTCGTGTAAACAGGGTCTCAGTGGCATCGCCGTCGACACAGCGGCCTCCTCGCCGGAATCAGTGATGCCGGATCGTATCTCACAGCCTTCCCCAGGGCCGCCCGCCCCCCCCCCGAGCTTATTTTCGTACGTTTGACTCCAGTGTGGCAACGTGAATCTTTTTGTTTCCATTATGCAGCAGTCAGTCAAGCCGAGAGCCCGTGGCCTCGAGAGCCGTCACCGCTGAGTGCCGTTAAGTACACAGACGTTCACTCCATCCCCTGCCAGTTTGTCAGAGACGCACGCACACACGCACAACCTTTCACTTTAGAGTCTTGAAGGATTACAGACGCGGAGGAAAGCTCCAATACACAGTTAGGCATTCAGCGGACGCCACGCGCTTGGACGGCAGAAGCAAAGTGAACGTGACTGGTGTCGGGTAAAGTCGGGTCCCCTCCTGCACCACTAAATCCTGACAAACATTGGACCGAGCCGCGAGGCCGAGTGAAATAAATCAGTCCCGTTTAAAGGATTCAAGGAAGAAAACAAAAACACACAGGGGAGGTGTACTGAAAGTAGCAACTTTTTTTTTTTTTTTTTCTTTTTGGAGATACAACTATTTACATGTAACCAAAGACAATGTCCTTGAAACGGGTACAAACTTTTTTTTTTTTTTAATCCTCTTCCTGCAGTTTTTTGTTTTTCCAAATGACAACTCAGAAATATATAAAATAAAAAATATCAGCTTCAGGGAAAAAAGTAGTCTAAGCATTTAGTTTCTTTGAATGTCCATTAATCACTATGTACAGGAGTATTTACATTCTACAATTCCCTCCAGACCAGATCTTTGCAAAGTAATTACCAGTGACCACAAACCAGATAGCGCTAATCTGCTTACCCGGGTACGACTGTCATTCAAAATCCGTGATGGTACGCGTGAGCAGTAAGAGACAAGCGGCCACCTGAAGGTTCATGAGCATCATCACAGGTGAAACGACAGATAAAGAATAAATAAGTCGGCGCCAATGCGGTCACATATGCGATACGGGTAAAAAACGGCGCTAAAACGGTGGCTGGACACACGGAACGTGGAGGCCATCGGGACATCGTCCACAAGTCGAAATGACCTTTATATTAATGACTTTTCCTTAAAATGCAGTTTTGATGAAGTCAAGCCGAAACCGTGATTCAGCCAAGTGCGTTGCGTATTTCCAGCCGCTGAGCCGTGACTCATGGGATACATCTTATCAAAGCGGGATGTGAAACTTTAGACACCAACGGCATTTCACTAGGTTAAGACTCGGTATTCACGAACAAGGAGACAATTAAATTAAATACAATTCTTAAAAAAATAAAATAAAAAAAAATAAAAGAAGAAGCGAAAGAAATGAACTTCATTATTAATTCAAAAGGAAGCACAAAAAGCATGTTTTTTTGAGTGAGTCATCACATCTGTTAAACCTGGGAGTTTCAATGCATTCTGTACTTACATACTCTTTGATGAATTGGAATTTAAAAAGAAAGTCGAATGGGGGGAAATTGATAATGGGAGGAATGATGTTAATCATTGAAATTCATAAAAGCAGGTGATTCTCAGGTGCCCTCAGTCAATAAAGAACATTCTATCAGTTGTGATTCCTTTTAAAGTTATTAATAATTCAGGTGAGAAAAGGAAAAAATAACTTTTCAGCGATTTGCTAACTCGCAGTTTATAAAATGAACGGGCACAATCTTTTGCTAAAAATCAAAAGATTAAAGATTCCCTTAAACATTCAAGCCAACTGCAAACTTTTAGTTAAATGGATGTATGCTTTTAAAAATCATTCCACACGTTTCCACAGAGACGGCATTCTAACATCCGTGAAAATGATTGTTGCTGTTGTATTTCTCATGCTAATCAATGATTTCATCCTTAGCTTCGACGATTAAAACGTAACGATGCAGAGGTTCACCCTGCAGCCAAGTGACCCGGAGTGGCAGCGGGACGGGAGACCTCGGCTTCAGTAGCTTGTTGCCGTCGAACCGTCCCAAGAAGAGTCCATCTTCACGCTGGACACGGCGACGAGGGTTCTGAGACTTCACGCCAGCATCAGACTGTTCAGCCCGCCCTCCAGAAACGAAGGGGGGGGGGGAGTGGGAGAGGGGGGAATGGGGGGGGCATGCAGCACGTGATACCCCTGTCTGGCTGTCTGTTAACAGTGCTCCAGGTAGTCGATGACCCGCGTGATGGACTTCTGTCCCGTGGTGCCCATCGCACACTGTGTACGAAGACAGAACGGGGCGGGGGGGGGACAAAAACAACAGTGTGAGAGAGTGCCGACATGTGCGGATGTACTTGTGAGGTCTAGAGGTGCCGACAGTGAGGATTTTCGGAGCTGCTGTTCGCTTGGAAAGGCGATATTTAGGAAACAGATGGTTCAGCTCTGACAAGGAGTCACTTTTCAAAGCTGCTATAAAATGCACATCTGGGACCGTGTAACCGTTTGGTGTGTTATTAATGCCAGACTCATTTTTATATCACTACTAACTGGGGTGCTTGTGTACAACAGAATCAAATCGATTACGTTTTGGGCACATTACCGCCAGAAAAGTATGTAAGGCTGTATTTACGACGGGCTAAGGAGCTATTAAGACGCTTTTCAATGAGACACAATCCTACAGACTTTTTGTGTACTCTTTGTACTTTTTTCATCTAAATTAAAGTGTTTCCTCAGAAAGGACCCAAATGGTGCCGAGGAATATAGAGAAGAAAAGGCTAATTATATTTCAAATAAAATAAATGTGGAATTAGCCAGTCATTTGATCTAAGCCACACAATGGGGAAAGCCATGTGCTGAAGAGAACAATTGGTGGGCTTTTTGTAACCTCAACAAAATGTGGAGGGAGGATCGCGTGTTCACACAACGTACCTCTGATCTCAAGGTAAAAAAAAAGGTCACATGGCTTTTGGAAGGGAATTAATCTAATGTTTTACTCCAACGCTACACAATAGTTGCATTCAAATTTTGTTTCAGTTCTATTTCTTTAAGCGTGATGGTATGGCATCATAATCGTGCACCGCTGACGGAAGAAGGGTTAGGACTTGACCTCAGTACTCACAGTGAGGTTCATGAAGCTCAGGAACTTCTTCAGCATTTCTGTCATGATGGAGAAATCCCCTTTAGGTAGATTCTCTCTCACAGTAGTCACATTTGTCTGAGAGGGACAGAGAGGTGTCTGAGCATCGATATCTTCGAGTAGGAAAACAACATTAAATAGTGCGCGCGGTGGGACTTTCTCACCTGGTTTCCCTGGCACAGGCAGCCCAGCAGCAGCGCGATGTAAGAGGCAACGATGCTGTCCTCCATATGTTTGCCTGCATGCTGCAGAGCTACGGCAAACACGAGGGAGAGCGAAAGATTCAGAGATACACATGAATGAATACATTAGAGGGAAAGGGTTTTAAGGGGGGGGGTGGGGGTTGGCCGAAAAATGCTGAATATAAATGTTCTCTGGAAAGAGGATTTTGTTTTTCCTGCCAAACATACTGGGGATCTCTGTCACTGGCCGGCTCGTAGAGAGCTTAGAAACAAATCCACATCCGCAATAACAACTAAATAGAATTATTTGTCTTCAGTCAGTACGAGTGTCTCGATTTTAGATCCATGGAAAAGCAACTGTTAATCGTGAAATCAAGCTGGGAAGCGTGTTAAAAGGACAAAGGACTATATCAATAAAATAGTTTTTTTAAGACGAATACTTATTGGGGCAACTTTCCGCATTGAATTATGGTGACATTTTATACATGCCTACTCCAGCTGCGACTCGGACGCCCCTCAAAGCGGTTTATCACTCTGCATGAAGATTTATTACCGGAGATAATTACAATACTCATCATTGTGAGCTGTACGCTACGGCTGGGTGGTGTGCTCTCTCTGTAAGGCCTCAGACTCTGAATTCCGTTTATTCATTTATGAGGCCCTTACCGTTCCTTTTGGTCTCCCTATATTGCTCCGTTGTTTGCTTTTCATGTAGGCCCCTGTCAAGCATGTTCAATGATTGAATTATGCTGCAGCTGCTGGGATTTCATATTTCTGAGGTTGGTGAACCTCATTTCTCTTACCAACAGAAATTCAGAGCTCAAATCACTTTCCTGAAGGCGATTACAGTTTTCTAGTCAAACTTATTTCAGAGTAGCTTTGTTTACATTTTAGTTGAGTAATCCACCTTGTACTAGAATTGCTTTATTAATAACGTTTCATTTTTCATGGTGCCTTTTATTTTTCTACCTCAATGTATGAAATTAAAATAAAAGTTGAATAAATACTTTATTTACTATTCTTATTGGTGGCCATTTTAATAAAAAGTCCAAAATCTAAACATGCATTTCTGTGTTTCCAAGGATTACAACCTTAAGGGGGCGGAGTGGCCAACGGGGGAGTGGCGGAGGTGTAAGGGGACCTTTCTAAGCCAGTACAGTTTTGTGAGGTAAAAAACAAACATGAAGTAATTGTCACTGCAACATCAAACCCATCCATCAGGATTATGATTTTTGCTAAAGCTAAACACACGTCTACCTTTATTTAGATCCAGCTCCTCGTCCTCCTCCTCTTTCTTCTCATTATCTTTATTCTCAGGTTGGCTGTCGTTGGGTTCGGCCGCCACCCACTGGATCTCTCCAGACGTCTCCTGCCACTCGCCGCTTTGGTCCAGTGCCGGCTTGGGCGCCTCACTGATGAGGTCGTCAGTTTTAGCCTCGGCCTGGATGGCAGCACGCTCCCTCTCCAGGAAGAGCTACAGTTGGGGGGGCAGATTTGAAATGCAAACTTTTTAATTGGCACCAAAGTACAGAGCAGGTGTTTTGATGAAAAGGGAATAAAAGGATAGCAGTTAATCATGAAAGCAAAGGTATTTCTCCTGGCCAGGTCAAAAAGCAATTCACTAGACAGTTTAAGGTAAATTTTGAAGTTAATCACTACTTTACTTTGAGATTCTCTTCAGGCTTTCAGAAAACTACACTAATAAGTCACTTGGGAGTTTGGTCAAGGAATATAAATTCTAAAGCGCCGTATTAATAAAATAAGGTATACTATAAATAACTCATAACTAATATCTTAAAAGTCAAATCATGGTCGGCATCGATTTAGACTGGCTTACTACTTAGTGTTCAGACCTTCAAATATTTAAAGTGCAATCCTTTTTTTTTATCCCAATGAGTGCTCATCAATATTTCTGCTCGCATCCTTAAAAAACATCATTAAAACAGATAACGCTGATGAAAAAATAAGTAAATTGCAACGTTCCTACCTGCACCAGAGCAGCCAGGGCACCGGAGGGCCTCGGCTTGACGGCACCGTCTCCGTGAGCGTCAGCCGTGCTCGGAGGGGCTGACGCCGCGTCGGACTCCGCCGGGTCAGCGGGCTGCACCAGGCTGTCTTCCAGACAGGATTCGTCCACGATGTACTCCATGTCCACCAGGCAGTGGCGGTTTCTGGCGCTGTACTCCACGAGGTTGATTAGTAGGCCCAGACCCTGTCGTACACAGTGAAATGCACACGCGTACATGGAGGCACAGCGCAAACGCGGCTTAGAAAACCATCTTTTTAACGTCTTTAACGGTTTTCTTGCCCGGGGCCTCTTACCAGCACTCGCACGTCAAAGCGCTGCTCCTGGGGGATGAAGCGTGGAACTCGGAGGACACAATTCAAAGCGGTTGCGGTTAGCTGTTCCTGCTCACCTGTCTTAGTGCTCCCCCACTCTGCAGATAAATCGAACAACGTTAATAAACTCATCCTACTCAATACCCGGCTAAGTGATACAGTTAAAGTCTATTTGAGCACATTCAGAAGAACGTCCAAAGCCGTTAACTGTGCTTCATTTGCCTCGCACCGCACAAATAAGACAAAGACTGGCTCCTTGTTCAGCTGTTAATAACCAGAAATGATCGATATAAGCATCGAAGAATACCGTTGTCGTGAGTCAGGTTGAGCAGCACTCCTATGATGGCCCTCATGCAGTCCTCCACGGCCTTGCCCACGTTACTGAAGCTGCAGTGGGGCAGCGCGGCTCCCGACAGAGACAGAGAGCTGTTGTTTAACGCCCTGCTGTATCGCTGAATCATATCCTCACAGTACCGCAAAGCTCTAGTGAACACAAGAAAAACATTCCCATCAGAGAAACGGAAGAGCAAAGTTAGGTTTGGAAGAAAACAAGCACCATGATGACAGAAGAGGAAGAGATTATAAATATCTGGTCTTAATGCTAAACATAATCATATGTTTAGCATTAAACATAAACGTAATCAGAGAACTTGTTAAATTACTGCATATTATTTGGACAAACTTCTTTAGACAAACCTCCAACACCCTTGAGGACACCGTTTGTTATGATGGGTGCAATCGTGTTACAAAAAAGTACAAAGGTAAACTGAATGAACCGTTGTCATCTCAGTCGGGGCCTCAGCATGCCGTCGCGTGCAGTCAATAATGGCTCCGAGCTGTATCTAGTGCTCACCTGGCAGAGGACACGATGAGTTGTGAGTCTTTGTAGGCAATCAAGTAACCCTGGTTCTCTGGATTCTGCACGGTCACCTGTTGGCAAAGGATGAAAGAAATAAAATCAATAGAGGGGAAAGCACACACAGTGGCTCAAAAACTAAATCAAGAAACGGATTATTGAAGTAAAGAGACTTTTGATTTGTTGACTTTCGACCGGAAAGTCGTTAAACGTTTCGTCGCACTCCCAAACACAGACTTTCATAAGAGGAAACACTAAAAGTAACGATCCACGTCACAGTCCTTAATTATTCTTGAGTTTCATTCTTGTAAAACTTTACTGAGAGACAAAGCCAAAACCAACAGAGCAGTACTTACACTCTCGAGTACTCTCAGACACCTCTCGGCCCCCCACAAAGACGCCACGAGGTTCTCCTTGTCATCCTCTTGGCTCAGGTTCTCCACACACTCTTTAACTGTGGAAACACAGAAAACGGACTATTTGCTATCCTAACACATGAAAGTCAACAGCTGCGACAGTGGATCTTGACTATAGGGACGTGTGCTATTCATCCTCGACACCAACCTTTGTCTACAATATGGTCCAAACCGCCGAGGAGGCGCAGCTCTTCTTTGAACCAATCGCCTGCTCTCTTGGAGGTGAGAGAGAGCAATGTCTCCATGGCAAGATGGCCCGTCTACATCAGAAAAAAATAGATTGTTTCAAACCAGAAATCTGACAAGTAGAATAAAAATGCACACATTTTTCATAATTATGATAATATGGTCTGCATTACTATTAGACTTATCGTCACCTTTGATAGAAGGACACCAAAAGAGGCTGTTATGGGTTTTAGTCTTTAGGAATACTTGTGAATCTTCAGGTTGAGTTTCAACATAACCGTCAGTACAAGTATTAATTTCAATACACAATATATTATACACAACAAGGTGCTATGTATTTGAGAAACAGAATAGAAAAGAGTAAAGTGCACTAAAAACAAAGTACTTTTTGCTAGATCATACATTTTTGACGGCTTTAATTTCTAATGAAGGCATTTAATGTATTTATGAAGTCTTACTTGTTAAAGAAAGACTCATTAAATCCAGACACGGTTGTTAAATGATGCACCGGCTACATCCAAAAGGTGAAGTGCATTTTTTCTTCTTCATTTTCTAACCCACCGTGATATTTTCCAAGTCGAGGTGCTTGTTGTGCACCGTCTCACACAGCTTCCTGATCTTCTCCTTGACCTTTTCCACCTCCTTTGCAGTCAGCTGATCCTGGTCGGGCGGGTAGTCGTGGTCCAGCTCCAGCAGCTTGATCATGAGCTCCAGACACTCCCTGTCCAGATCCATGTTAAGTCGATCCCGACTCAGGATGTACATGAGCGCAGCCGTGCACAGAGCAAGGTTCTGATGGAACAACGGAGACAGACGTTTTCAAAAGTGGTGCACGGAGGCAAAACGTGAGTAGCTCCCCACTGTTACGACAACATTCTATTGTTCTATTTCACATTGAAGTAAAAAGGAGACAGCAAAGACAATTACTCACCGGGTGTTGTGGAGCGTCACTGATCATTTTGAAGACCTGCGCCACTTTCCCTCTGGCCCGCAGGTGCATCCTGAAACCAGGCATGGCACACCGAGTGGCCAGGCTGATTATACTGCAGCGGCGAGAGATGAAGAGAAAGGGAGGATTACAGAGATGTTGGGTTGAATATTTAGCACTAAACTAAATATGAATGAGTCACTGTGTGGCACAGGCCGCTTCCAAAACAAATCACGCCATTGTTTTTTTACTTTCCGCCTTCTGCTCTCGGCATGTGTCAAATAACTAATACTAAAGCACTAAAGGAGGCTGGACTCCATGCAGCGTTTACTGAAGTCAAGGCGGTCTCTCCTGAACGGAATCCATTTTCCAAACAGGATGGCTGTGTGATTTATTAGACCAGAGGAAAACAAAATGGGTTTATCTTAGCACATTGCCCCATAAGAGGGAAGATAAAAGGGAGATGCATAAAGAAAAAAGGGCAGAGGATAGCAAAATATAAGTACACAGATACGGCATCTACGGGGTTCAGTATTTTTCCCCAAAAAACTACAGAAATACTATAACTGCTCAACCTCCTGCTGCTCTCTCACATTAGTATCACTTTTTATTGATATAATGAAGTATACAATTTCAAGCTTTGATCACCTAAAGCGAGTGTGTAATTGATTTACAGATAGCCTGCTAATACATGGACAAATGTTAAGTGACAAGTGCTTGTACCATTCAAATCAAGCTAGGGAGGTATTTGGCACAAATCAGTCCAATCAAAATGCCACTAGAAAAAAAGAATAAAACAGGAAAAGAAAAAAACAGGGAAAAAAACAAAACACTACAACAGAGCAAAGTTGGAACATCTCAGTGGTCCTCTTTGTAATTGCACAAAAGAAAGTCGGGCACTTAAGTGTTTTGTTCCACTTACCTAAGGCATCTTGTGTTGAGTGGCTGACTGCTCTTCAGCCCCGTCTCCAGGTACTCAAAATCATCTGTGAACTCTTGATTCTCCCCAAACTCCACAACGTCATTGAAGTGTTTCACATGCTGCACCACTGTGTACAGCTGTTGAAAAAGGGGAATGGGGTTAATTACAGCAAATCTATCCAGGGTCCCATTCCACTCCCCAACAGCAGCCCAGTAACCAATTGTGTAGCATCGGTAAAACGGCAGAATTTTGGAAATTTCTCCATTGTGGCACTAATAAAGGATTGATTATTATAATAATTAAACGAGGACAAACCAACGCTGCGGGAGAATTGCTTTAATTGTTAAAACCCTCTTTATCGGTTCCATTACCAGAAATGGCTGACTGTGCTAATGCCCCATTATCAATAAAAGATCAGCATGTGGAGTTACGGCCAGATCAGCAGTAGACTGTATGTTTACCACAGTCAACAGTCGTGCTGTGTGTGCACAGCAGGATCCGGGGTTTAGATAACACCAGAGGGTGGTGACAGCTCAGCTTGAGCGATTTTAGCTCAGGGGGTCTGTGGCTAACAGCCTGATCTAAGGCCCAGAAGACCCATCTGTAAATGAGACGAGCTGGAGGAAATTTTAAATTAACAGCTACGGTTCTTATTGCTGCCGCCAATCCACAAAAGGAGTTCAAACAGAACAATGTGCTTGACGTGGATGCAATAAAATGCCATCCCGTCGGTGTATAATGCTGCATCAATGGATAACAGAAGCTTGGCTGAGTAAAAAAAATAGAATTCAAATCATAGCAGCAAGCAAACAAATGCAGCAGAATTGAAATAAGCTCCATTTATCAGTAGACGTCGAAAAGCATCCGTGTGCTCCGGGCTCACCTCCTTGTGCTCCTTCCTGCATTTGAGCGCAGTGACAATATCCTGGTTGAGCCGCGTGGGGAGGGTCTCAGATTTAATGACTTTGGGCGGCGGTGGAGGGGCTTTGAACAAGCCATCATCTTTATGAGAGTTGCTGTCCTTGCTGCTGCTGCTCGATAAAATTGCCTGAGGAAAAAAAAGACGTGAAAATGGGGCTCAAACCAAAGCAAAGAAATCTGTTTAACTACATACACAAGACTGAATAGACAGTTTGAACCGGTATACCGCCCAGCCCTAACATCACTAGATTCATACATAATCCTGTGATATGAATTTTTGGCCATAACGCCCAGACCTAATGTATACATTTCAAATTTAACCTTCAAACATCCAAATTAATTTATAATAAATAAATAAATAAATATTTAAAACAAACGCATCTTACCGGAGCAGTCTGAGCTCGAGACAGTGGAGGCGCAGGTACCTCTTCCTGCTCAGGTTGGTTCCAGTGGCGAGCGTTGTACACAGCTTTAGCAGGGGACTGGAACCAAGCAAGAATTTAACAATTAGTTAATCCGAACAGGGATGACGAGTAAATCCAGATTTATTCATTTACTGATGAATAACTCAACAATGTGTGTAAAACATTTCAGTGCAGTTCTTAAGATTAGCACAACTCCACACATGCATATTGCATTCACGATGATAGACTGAGACAACAGCAGCCTCCAATGTAGAACACAACAGGCCCAAAGCAGCCCAAAATATTTGACTGAATTATATATTGTGAAGACAACGTGCGGGACTGTCAATGATGTGAAAACAGTAAACCCACAGAATTAGGAAGACGGACCGCAAATAACCCAGAGCCACTACAAGACATGATTTAGATAAGCGGCGCAAGCACAGTCATACACAAAATATGGCAAATCAAAGCGGAGTTCAGATGAATATGAGGAAATGTTTTAAAACTTCTTCACAGGACCACGTAGGGTGAGCACAAAAATATCCATTCTATTGAATTCCGAACAAATTCATTGTATTTAAGTTTAGCTTCATTCTAGCCGTAGATCGATTAAATAACTATAAACAAGCCAGGCATTATCTTATGTACATGTAATTGAAATATTAACAACATTATAGAAGAACCCGTTTAAAAGACAAATCTTCTCAGACCTGAGATCAACTCTTCAAAGGTAGGACGGACATGAAGGCAGGTGACAAAAGGTCACAAAATGACTTTTTTAAGAAGTCTAGCATCATCGCACACCTTTTTGGGTCCGCTGAAGATCTTTTTGAATCCACCGACAGTGTCCTTGGATTTGTCGCTTGACTTTCCTGAGCGTCCTTTCTGCCCCTCAGCGCCGCCAGGACTGGAGTCCTCGGAGAAGTCAAATCCATCTGTCGGATAAACCACAGAGAGAGAAACGAGCATCAATGTGTGCAAGTCAGGCTACAAATGTCTTATTTACAATATCAACGACTGCTCTGAAGTAAACCAATCAATCAAGAGCATCCAGCCAAGTGTCTGTAGATTAAGAGCGGCTCACCCGTGTTGCTGCTGGCTTGGCTGTCCTGGGAGTCACTGGTGTGAGGGCTGTCCACGCCGGAGCTCAGAGCAGCGAGGGCGGCCGCCGCCTTCTTGGCCTTCTTCTCTTTGGCCTGACAGCTCTCTTCATCGCTGTCACTCTCGCTGAGGTCGTCAAAGCCAAAGTACTTGATCTTGTAGCTGCTCTTGCCTGCCATGGCACCTTCTGGACCCTCCTCACCCCCCTGGTCCTCCTTGTCCTCAAAGCCAAAAAACTCGAGTTTGGTCTCCGTCTTGGTCTTGGTTTTCTTGGTCTTTGTCTGGGCCTGTCTGAACCTGGGAAGATACAGTGAGCTCAAGTATTTCCTGTTTGTATTTGCTGTTGTTATTTTTGTACTCTTGGGGGGGATTGGGAGAGAAGAGCAGGACAAGAAAAACAATAGGCACCGATGTAAGCTGGATAAATAAGCTAAATAAATAAAAAGAACAGAAATAGAGTCCAAACTTTTGTAAAAAAAAAGAAAATCAATAGACAGAAGACAACAATTTAGACAACCGCTGCAATGTTATTGTTTTGAAACCACTACAACATGCATAATAGAACTATCATAGACCACACATACCACTTACGATAATGGCAGTCTCTAAAGAGCTGACCTCAGTGAAAGTGAAAATGATTATTCCCTACTCAGGCATGAAAACGGGTCAAGGGTGAAAAAGGTGAGAAGGATATTACCCCTCTAGGGGTTTTCAACTGGTTTGGTCCCAGGGATCATTTTTTGCGTACCGACGAGGGGGGGATGGGAATTGACAACAACTAATAGGGGACAAGTCATTAAATACTCATCATGCATTAAATTGCATTGCATATAATGTGTGCTGGTCAACTAGTCTAAAATTAATTTTAGACAAATTTTTGCGTAGTTTAGAGTGACAAATCGCACCAGCGTACTTTGAAGTCAAACTGCGTATCAGGTTGGCAGGTCTGCTTATTGATAGAACCGTGGACCACTTTACCTTCTGCCTCGTCAGTCCCCTCACCTCAAAATTTACCTCCTCAAAAACGGTAGCGTTAGCTAATTATTTTCCACCGGAGCTTTAGCTAGCTGGCCAACTTCGCGTTCTCTCCTGCTGTGTTAAATGACTCAACTCATCAAGCTGTAGCTAACGTTAGCTAAGTCTATGTCAACAAAGCTCCTGGGTAACTTAACTTAGATATACCAGAAAATATTAAAATTATTGAAACCATCACGCTCCCTTCTGACACGCGCACCTGTTCGCAATTCACTGAATATGAATACCCTACCCCCCCCCCCCCCCCAAAAAAAAACCTCATCGAATCTACACGATTTAAGTAGGTCACCTATTTTGGTTTCAAAATGGCGAATTTCGCCGAAAGGTGGGGGATTTTCATGCCTGCCTACTTACTAACATTAAAGTAGATTCAGTCATGGTGGGTAATGTGACATTGTATGCAATACTATTGACATTAGTATCCTGCTAGAAGTATATAATTTACAATTGGGCTATCCTAGTTTTGGTTTAAACCAAGATTTCAGTCTGTTATAGTTGACCAATATTATCAGCTTGCTATATTTCATCCAATAAGAAAATATAATTTTAAAACTGATCCACCTCACAGAAGACAGCAAAAAAAAAAAAAACAGATCTCCAACATGCATCTAATTTATCAAGAAGCAACGTCAACTTTAGTAGTGACACTTCCAATGAAATTACATGGCTTATAGCAGCAAATATTCATAAACAATTCAATTCAACAATTCACATCACTGTGACACTGCAGACAATATGACAACAACATACTTGATAATATTTCCTTTCAAACATCAATATTAAGGCCTATACTGCTCTTTGAAACCTGAACAAAAACACTCAGTCCTAAGCCACACTGCTATATTGTGTGTACATTTTAAGAATGAGTGTAGAATAAAGTGTAAGTAAGGGTGATGGTCATTATTTGTGGCAAACTTATTTGACTACGTATGCCAAATACAAAAGAACTGTGGAAGCTGATAAGATAATCAAGCTTATATGACAATCTAAATTATCTATTTTGCCGCACTGTAAGATGTAGAGTATCTATTTTATCCATATCACCCATTCCCACAATTAAGAAAACTAGACTACCATCTTAGATGAAATGATTTCAGACACAAATCTTTTGAAACCTTTCTTCACGATGCAGGCATTGAGAAACATGTAAATGATTTACCTGGTAGAGGTCGATGCAGGAGCATCGGTCTTCTTCTTCATCTGGCCTGCTTCTCCAAGGTCAGCAGGTGTGGCTGGGGTGACTAGTTCGTCAATGCTCCGCTCAACTGTGTCCTGGATGGTGACGTTGCACACCGACAGACAGGAAGGGTGCAGAACCGTGTAGTCCCGTACCCTCCCGCCTCCCCTGCCTGTGGGCTTGGCAGCTGGTTTAGCATTGGCAGCAGTATTACTTGCGCTGGCAGAAAGGGCACTGTTGGGTTTTTCATGGGCAGTCGCTGCTTCAGCAGGCTTGTTGCTATTGTTTTCACCAGGTTCAGATGACGTTTTCTTGGACTGGGTGGGTCGCAGGTATTTCTTGCAGTTAGAGGCCCTTAGTGTGAATGGAGATGGGGGAATGCTGTCCACTGGTTCTGGTTGCGGCTCCGATTCGGCCCCTTTCTTATCCCCCAATGGCAATTCATCATCAGAGGGAGAGGTCTGGAAGTCTCTGCTACCTCCTGGTGCATCGATGGACAGTTTAAGGGAGGTGACTATGTTAGAAGCAGAGGGGACTGGCCTCTGCAGCGCTGACAAGTTATGTTCAGCAGAGGGGACTGTGCTTGTCAAGGATGCCTTGCATGCAGGTTTTTGGTTTGCTTCTGAAGTACTTTTGTACCGGGACTGGGTATTTCTAACAATACCGTCTTCAGATGTTTGCTTGGCTGCGGATGGAGAAAACCGAGCACAAGTGGTTACACAAAACAGCTGGGACAAAATTCTTATCAATTATATAATTGAACGGAAATGTATAATGGAATTTCAAACACACAAATGACTTACTTGCGAACTTGGCGGCTGAGTTTGCGGACCCCTGTGCAGAAGTAACAGTGGCTGTCCCACCGCTCTGCACTGCAGTGGTCTTTGTCACGGCCCCATCGTGGACCCTGCGAGAGGATAAAATCTTGGACTCATCGTCGCTGTCAAACCCAAAGGGGTCTTCATCGCTGTCGCTGTCCTCAAGCCTGGGCCTTTTGGAAAGCTCAGACGCTTCTGGTTTTAAAGTAGGCCTTTTGGCCCCCAACTGAGCCTTGTAGGTGGTCTCCCCCCATTTGGTGGTCAGTGTGGGCTTTTTATTGTTGAAGACCTCGTCAAATTTGGAGTTAGCCTCCCCTCCTTTGCGGTTGTATGTTTTACCGAATCTGGATGTCATGTTGGATGCTTTATGTTACATATTCCCTGTAAAAAAGAAACAGACAATCCAACATTTTAGAAATAAATTGTGCCAACGTCAACAGCGCAGCTATTAAATGAATGTGTGTCTGACTGGTAACGAAGACTAAACGTTAAATGTTGCGCTCGACAAGCGGCACAGAACAACGTGTACATGCATGTAAAACATACAATAACCCAGCGTTAAAGTGGCCCGGTTGGATTCATTAACTTGCCATTAGTTCGAAGGTGAAGTGTGAACTATCGGTTGACAGCACACCAAGTTCGCGTGGCTAATTTAGCTCGCTACCTCGAACAGCAAAGCTAGCTTGCAAATTAACTGGATCGCTCAAATGTGTGAAATACGATAAGGAGCTCGAGCGACGTGGTTGTACTGAAGCAAAACTTTAAGTCAATTACAGTCACACTGAGCAGTTCATTTACCTACGTCTGTTATCCCTGGCTAGGCCCGCTCCAGCTTGTAAAGTTAGTATAAAGTTAGCAATTACCCGTTAGCTCCACCGCTGCTAAACTGCGCTTACGTTAGTCCCTTGTTTACATTTCCACTGCTTTAAATGTTTTAAAATATGAAGAGGTAATTAAAAACACGTTTGAATACAGAGTTTGAGATTCCAAAATCGTCTCAAATGCAAGAGAATAGTGGCACACACAACTCCGACGACTAGCTTAACGTCCGCTTGTTTTTTAGCCAGCCGGCTAGGCCTCATTTCCACTCGCTCACAAATCAAGCGGGTAAAGTCCGTTTAAACAACACCAGAAACACATTGCAAACCCCGAAATGTTTCAACGACAATGTTAGATATCAAATAAAATCATCCAAAACTCACCCGTATCTAGTGTAGTCTAAATATAGTGGATAATCCGCACTTTTTGCATTTTGTAGCGCTATTGACGGCCATTAAAATATCCCCTCCCTCCTCGTTGCTTGGCAAGACCCGAATATACTGCGCCGTGAGAAGGAAGATGGCCAATCAGCGGAAGGGAGGTTGCCCCACACTCCAGGACTCCTTCAGCAAACTGGATTGTGATTGGCTAACAACTGAAACCATAACAAACGATAGGGGTCGCCGGAGGTCCACTTTATTTGACGATTTAAACCTGAAGACGTGCCAAATAAGAGCATTTCTCGCGAGGTCTTTGGATTTCACGTTGCGTAGGAGCGAGAATGATGGCATCTCTTTTTTGATATGTTGTTACTAACTGGAACAACGCAACAAAAGATCCGAATTGGAAAATATTTCAAAAATTACTGTCGTCACTGTGGTTATTGTTAATTATTTTTATATTTGTTCTTGACTGTATTAGAAAAAATAAAAAAGATACATAGAATGCCGCTTCGACGCACACATGAGCACAACTGAACCAGATAAGCAATCCTAAAGGTTTAAGTTAAGTTTTCAAAGGTGCATGACACCAGAAAATATTTTAAAATGTATATATATATATATATATATATATACTTTTGAGTTAATAAACCCGTCAACACAAATTTAGGGGTTGATTTGGTCTGCCAAGGAGAAAAAAGTAAGGGGGTAGTTTGTTTAAGGTCGTGTCAATGTAATTGCATTATTAAAGGTTTACGTTCACCACATAATTGTACAAAAATAATGAAAAAGTAGTGCACTTCGTTAATGTAGTCCCTACACGTGGCCCCAATACAATATGGTATAGTACATCTTATATAATCAATATAAAATACATTGTGTGTTTATTGCACTACACCGGCAGCATGCTGAAAAACAGAGAATATTTGGATTCCCCAACACTTGCACTGGTTCGGCGCGGGGATGGTGTCAAATGAATGAATTGTGGGTCATAAACAGCCCGGACCTCCAGGGCAAAGGGGTCTCAATTGTATCAGGAATGAAGCATTACTCAGGCCAAACAGACTTCACTAAACCTCTTTCATAGCATTATAAAGATGCGATGTGGGGTCAGCTCTCAAATGGCCGCTCGGACACAGTAGGATGTGCTACTAATTTCTCACGGGATGCATTTGAAAGGTTATTTTCATTTCAATTAGCAATCTGACAAAAAGTCAATGAAATAAGTCGATTGTCCTGTGGTCACAGCTGTTCACTATATTACTTTAATTAATCATATAAATGGTTCGGTCCCAAACCCATAAACAAATGTATTACTGTTTTCATATGAGCAAGAGTTCTTGCTCGCATCATCATCACATTGAACATAATGACACATTTTAAGGGTTCAATCATCATTACGCAACATTTAGATAAAGATGAGAGTATTTTTCTCTTTTTCAGTCAGTGCTGAAGAGACTGTCATGAAGGTTCAGAGGTGGTGAGGTAACAGCCGTGTCTGTGGATGTGCATGAGCTCAGGTTTTGGCTGTTTGACAGTCATTACTTCTTTCGACAGGAAAACCTTACTGCTGAGTCCAAAGCGTTCCGTAATCTTTCTGAATGTGTTGCAGTCATGGAATAGATGGTTCAGGAATATGTGTTATTGCCAAGTGAAATAAAAACACAGAACTTGCGAACAGTTTTGCGTGTAGAATTTGCCTAAAATGTTTATTTGGCATTTGTCTGCAACACTGATAAAGAACCATGAGATGGCAGCAGCACTTCCTGTTTTGCGTCTGTCTCAGCGCTTTTGTTTGTTTGTTTGTTTGTTTTTCAAAGTCTTTGACCACAAATTAATTAATGTATCAGTTAGGTGCCCACTATATGATAACATTTAACTGAAACGAGTCAACATATTTCAAAATGTCCACTATAACTTGACAAAATTGTGTGATTGCGATACATTTGTGGTCTGTATAACTAGCGTCGGTTGTATGGCTTCCATGCGGTGTGGGAATGAAAAATGCAATGTGAAAAATAAACATCAGGGTTATTAGGGGCATGGTCCTAAATGCAAATTGTAGCTACGCTGCTACATTACAAAGTATGTTCCCCTGTCTGTAAATCATACTTTTATAGCTGTAGTTTGATTCTTTTATGTTGTACACAGTGGAGCGTAGCAGATCTTTCATTTGAGTAATGGTGGGTTTTAATAGAAAACAACAACATCTCCTGCACATTTCCCCCCGTTTAGTGGCAGAGAAAGCCCGCCTTGTAAACCAAGAAGGTTTTAATCGTGTGTGCTGGTTTGTGTAGTTCTCAGGTCTCCACAACAAAAGTCTCAACCAAAACATTAAATGTATTCATACGAGCCAGTGCATCGCCGGTGGGATTTGGCTCGCACTCCCGTCTCTGAGGTCAGGCTGTTGAGCCCGGCGCCCACATAGGGCCCACAGAAAGCCAATACAATCCACTTTGACATAAATCCTGATTGGTTTCATGTCCCGTATGTGTCCATCCCAAAGTGTGTGTGTGTGACATTGGGGGAAAGAGATATGGAAAGAAAATTGGGAAAGCCAGCACACTTTGTATTAAAAAAAAAAGGTAAACCCTTTATTTTCTTCTCAGTACACATTAGATAATCAACCAAAAACACAATTTCTACAGTACTTTACAAAAGAAATTTAGAAAACAACAATTATAGAAATCCGATTTCCCCAGCGAGTCTCTGAGTTGCTTGAAATTGCAGCGGAAGGCCGCGCTGAGCAGCAGTCCGTATTGCAAAAGACACAAGAGAAGGCAGATACAAATAAAATGCCAATAACCAACTTCGTATCTTTGTGACCGAACAGTTGCAACACTGATCAAAGCATTAGAGACTAAAAGTTAAAACAAACACAGAGAACAAAGTACAGCACTGAGCATCTGTACAGTCATTTTCTTTCAAGGCAAAGCCAGATTATTCCTGGATGTGTGGCGCCGCTAGCGTTCGGCCACGCGGTGAGGGCGCTAACCGGTTGGAAGCCCCTCTCCCATACAAGGTCCACTGGTGATGAGTAAAACCCAGCTCCGGCTCCTGCGGTGGCATTTGTCGTGGGTCAAGGGTCGATCTCCATGGGAACCACCGTGAGGATGGCGTCCTCGTTTCCGCGCCGCACCACTACTCTCAAGCTGCCGTCCCGCTTGACGGCGGCGCTGACGTCGGTCGCGGATGAGATCCTCTGGCCGTTGACCGAGATGATGACGTCATGCTCTTTGAGTCCAGCACTGGGGGAAAAAAAGAAGATGGACGGATCGAGCACTTAATGTATGAATACCAGCTGTAATAATATTCATTTGAGTTATCTGGGGCCCATTATCTTATCGCATTACAATGATAAAATCTAACCATTTTAAGACAATGTCTTCCCTCTGCTTGCACTTTGTGTACTTTCCTTTTCCAGATTTTGTCAAATTAATTAATGAATTAATTGAATGACCGACAGATAAAGGATTACAAAATACACATTCGTTTTAATCAAGTTCTCCTAATGCGTTTACCGTCTTTATGTGAACAAATCTAACTTGAACTTTGGTCAGGTTCCTTTTGAAGGCTCGTCAGCAAAATCTTAATCGGCGTAACATCTGTTGGGAGAATTTTAACGGCGGACCAATGATGGCGGGAATGCTAGCGCAGCGAGGTTGCAGGGTTCTCTGCAAACGAAAACACGTTGGCCAAACGTGCAGCCGTGATGGAAGAAAAATAACAAACCAGTAAATCCGAACGCACAGGCAGACCCGGCGAGCGGCAGCGGTGATATCAAAAAGGTGCATTCAACGCGGCGACTCAATCGCAGCCACACGCAAACACAGACCACCGCGCCGCCACTCGCCGCAGCGTGAATGCACACAAGGCAGCACAAAACAGAACGAGATCAAGAGCCCGAACGTGCAGCCTGGAAAAATACCACGCGCTATACAGAGCACCAAAAAAAATGTCATTATTCAAAAAGCAGAGCGATTTAGGCCTGCGAGGCCCCCTAGGGGACGCCGCTCTGGAGTGGGCGGGGCGAACGGGCGCAGGAAAACCACGGCGCGGCCGCCAAACCTCCCCGCAGGGGGTTTAAAAGAAACCGCTGCCCTCAGCGTCTTCAGACCGCCCACTTGGAGTGGGCTTCCATTGAGGGAGGAGGGCGACACATTAGAGGGTCAGGCGCTGCAGGCGGGGGGTCCTATGTGGTGCGGTTGGCTTTGTGCGTGTGTGTCTATGCGCATTGGACAGTGAGAGGAGGGAAATAAAAGTAAAAGAAGGAAATTAAATCTGTCTATTTACATTGGACGAGGGGAGCGATGACAGGGAATTACGAGCACACGTGTAGCAAATTAAGATGAAAACAAACAGCCGAGAAAGAAAGTTGCAATTGGGCCCCAACGAAAACAAGATGGTCATTTAAAGTTCATTTAATGAGTCCCGCTCGGGGAGCCATTAAGCACAAAACGTCGTCCTCACACTGCAGCCGGTGTCTTTGCGATGACCTCCATGACGTACGCTCCAGAGGTAATGTCTGGGAAGTCCAGATGTCGGGTCTTCAGCTCTTTGGCCAGCCTGGAGAATCACGGTAGAGAAAGAAAGGTGAATGTTACAATTTTCCATCGTGCACAAACAACGAAGGCAGCCATTTCACCGGCGACGTGCTTAAATAAAGTGTGCAACTCACGAGGGAGTGAGAGTCATCATCCTCACGCCGATATACTTCTTCTTAGCAGCCGCTCTCCCTGGAGATGGACCACCACACAATACAGTTCAATTGTTCAACCGCTCGGCCTCTAAAAGTCCGGGTTCTCGGTTTTATGAGGGTGTTTTGTTTTCAACTCCGAAACAATAAAAATCCCCCCGGGCATTTCTTTCAGTATGTGAATGACAGACATATTACTTTGATCGGGCGATGGACGGATGGATCATTGGCAGTGTGACTTTTCCAGGGTTTTCATCATCCCGTTCTCGAAATGTTATTTCATCATTTCGGATAAATCAAATCAAAGACCCGACGTTGGCAGTCACATATAAAACACATGCGCGTGCTGTTCCAAAACTCTACGTGAGAGATTGAAAAGCAATAAATAAAAGACATGCTGGCATTTTCTTCCTAGTAGTTTCTTTACAATGTTATAATCTTGTTGGGTGATGCTGGCCAAGGACTCGTGGTGCAAGAAATGTGGTTAATATAATATGTCAAGGGGTGCAGAGAGATGAAAAATATCAGCCAAAGAAACGGAGTGTGCAATTGCTTGCTCCTTTACTGTGTGTGCACACAATGCCATGGTCCAACTCTAAAAATCTCACTCCAACAGTTTGTCTCAGAGGTTGAATCCTGGTTGTAGAATGATAACGTAACACATTTAGGCAGTGATAAGCTCATACCTCTGGACAGCCTGTCGTAGGCCTCTGCCAGGAACTCGCGTATTTTGTCTGAAGGAATGGCAAAGGAGATGCCGGCCGTCACTTTCAACGTGTTGATCCCAATCACCTCGCCGTCCTGAAACAGCAAAGCCCCGTTTACTTATTGGAATGGATTTAACCGAATCGTGCGCTCCGCCGCTGATGAATAAACAACGGCTCACCAGATTTACTAGAGGTCCTCCGGAGTTGCCGTACTGCAAACCAAAAAGATCCGAGATTAATATTTGGGGTTTTGAAGAGAAGAAAAGCTTGTGCGTGGAGCTTCGTTAACGCACATTTATGATGGCGTCCGTCTGGATGTACTCCATGTCGGAGTTGCGTAGGCCCAGCTCTCTGCCGCCTCGCTGAGTGGTGCTGACGATCCCCGTGGTAACGGTGTTCTGGAGGGAAAAGGGGCTGCCGATAGCAACCACAAACTCCCCTGGTCTCAGGTTGGACGATCGGCCCAGCGGAAGAACGGGAAGCTTGGTCTGCAAGTGAGAAAACACAGAGGGACGCCGTCTTCACGTCACTGGAGACCACAACAAAAAACGAAAAAGACTAACAAATGCCAGTAAGTAAGAATCGATGAAATGAAGAATTTAGGATTTGGAATGACATGAAAGCATGAAGGATACATTTGCATATGTACGGAGAAGGTGTCCTTATTGCATGAGCAGATGGCCCTCAGCTGACTCTAATGCTTTTGTGCATTAAAGATGTAACGCAGCCTTTTAGTGGCAGCTGGTCCGACAAATAAATCTGTTTCAGCATTCATTTTTTTATATTGCAAAAGATCATCCAATGCGACATGTTTTCTACTTTTTTCCTTCCGACGTAATGCTGCTTCAAGTGCAATTAATCTTTTCATGATCATTTGTTTTACGAGTAGACAGCAGGAAAATGCTTAAAGCGAAACCACTAAGTTCTAAACACAACCAACTCAAAGCTGCGTGTAAATGTTTCCCAAAAAAAACAATTATTTATTTTCCATCGCAGTAAGAAGTGACATTCACGCCAAACAACACAACTCAAACGGCTAATTACCAAGTTCAAAAAGCTTCTTTGTTTGGAAGAGTGTAGATTCATTCGTAAAGGCAAGTATTTGCCAACAGGCCACAGGAAAATGGGAAGATTTACTGATTCACGGCAAATAATGAGAACCCTAAGCTCCAGTTAGCCCTGTTACACTAGACAGTGGAAACCAGACGAGGGAAAGCAGGCTCCCACAGACAGACAGGATATATTTATCCATGTGCAGTGACACTTTCCTTCTCTAAATGATGTAATTTCTGCTGGTCAGCCTGCATTCGAAGCCCACGACATCACGTCGAGTGCATGCAGGGACCCGACGCCCTCGCGGCAGGACCGGTGCCCAGTGCTCCTCCCATGTATCCATTTTGTTTACTTAGTTATAAATAGAGGCTGCAAGGTAACTGAGACGGCAACACAAGTTGGCACAGACAGACAAAAGAATCACTGTGAAATATGCACAGCCACCCAAACGCTCAGACAGAGCACGCTGATCACAAATCCTACCCTCAGTCATCATTGCTGCCAACGCACGCATACAGTTTTCCATTCATGGATGCGTGCAGGTGGAAACAAATTGATAGGCCGACACATGACTTATAGACTAGTGCAAAGTAAAGTAGAAAATGGGTCTGCGTGGAAAACATTTAAGACAGACTTTTGATTCAGTCACCGGCGTGTTCTACTTTACTGTGAATCAGTTATTCTTAGAAGATGACAATGAGTGACAGCCAGTAAAAGGGGGGGGGGCCTTTTAAACTTTTCTTTTCTCACCCACACACACCCCCACACCCCCCCACAAAAATACACGGGTCCAAAAAACAAAAATTTCGAGGGGGGGGGGGGTATCCCGTGGGGTTTGGCTTAAAAAAGGGAGGGGGTTTCAACCCGAAAAGGGGGGCACCCACACACCAGGGGGGGAAAATTATTTACAGGAACATGATTTTTTGGCAGGGGTGGAAACACACCAAACCAAAAAAAAGCCTTTGAAAACGGGGTGGGGGTCCGGTATACCCCCCCCCCCCCCCCCCCACCTCCAAGTGAAATGAGAGTGGAGATGAGGGAGGAAGTAAGAGAAACACACAGCTGAGAGAGAGAGGACGTCAGATGGACGTCCGTCCCTGCCAAGACATCCAGGGCTCTGCCGGTCACCATGATTGTGATAACAGTCACTGATACTGCCGCTGTCATGGCAACTGTTGCTATCGGCCGAAAACCTTGCATCTTCAAAATGTCAACTCGGAGGAAGTGCTTTGTTTCCGGGACCCGACTTACAGTTCATCCAAATCCCTTCTGCAATAGTTAAACGAACACGAGTTCAAACACAACCCAAAATTACAATACATTCAGAAGAATATCCTGTAAAACCGGTGTAAAGAAATGATCGGTACCCTCGCAGCCGGACAGCGGCGAGGCGAGAGGGCCAAAACGAACGCCGAACCTGCGGACTGCAAACCTCACATATCACTCATCGCGACGGGTCAGCGATCCGCAACGAGATGTGGAAAACACATCTCGCCACACGAGTCTGCCTCTCTTGACCACCCAAGTGACTCAGCCTACAATTTCAGATGAAGGCGACTCCTAATTTACCCAAAGTCGCTACAGCCCCACTTAAAGGAGGAAGGAGGCAAGGTGGAGGAGGGGAACAAAAAACACCACAGACCACGGGAAGAGAGTCTGAGAATGTCAGACGAATGAGTCAAGCGCAGTTTACTTTGATATCATGTGATGCATGCAGCGCGCGTTTGCCGAGACCGGCGTATGGCCTGAGTAATACTTTTGGTCTAAAACCCCAAAAGGTGGCAGATTGATGGTGTCAAAAAAAAATAGAAAAAAGAAAGAGGTCCAAAAGGTCCAAAGGGACAGTTACTTCCCAAAAAGGGAAAAGAAATCCCAAAGGAACCATTGTTTTCGTGTGTTTGGATAAGAGAGAGAAGCGTCGCATCAGATTAAAGGAGCGAGGACTAAACAACTTTGACCGAAGAAGTAGATGAAAGTGAAACGCGGTCCATCTTCTGTCGCCGAGCTGAGATCTCGATTCAGCCCCCTGCGCACAGACAACACGACGAAAGGCGCAGTCAGACAGACGAACTGGCAGACGAGCAAACAACGCCGCTTTGAAAATAGCACAAGAGTTGCTATGGAGATGTGCCGTTGTGCAACGTCACAGCCTCGCTCGTTCAAAAGCAATTTGCACCGACTGCTGTTTTATGACTAGAAGACCAGGTGCAGAACATCTCGGTCGAGCTGAGAGCGACTGTGGGTCCAACGAAGCTCACGTGGTATCACGTGGTCGGACCCTCACAGGCGCAGGTCTGTAAATCTGGCAATGCTTGGATATACAGCTCGACCACTTGGCAATTACGCACGTCCAGACCGGGACGCAGCTTTGAGCGTGACCCCAAACTCGCTGGAAGGGGCGAACTGCTCTTTTTAAACAGGTAGCTTGAAAGCAGGGAACGCACTTTTATAAGTTCCACCTCGCGACGTTCACGTACACACGGAGGTTTTGGGGTTTCACTGTAGACGTGGGCCCTCGGGGGTTGTGCTAATGCAGGATTCAGCACGCTCACACATAACATCGAGCCGGAGGAGAGGGAGACACTCGAGTGGATTTGTCTGCCTGTGTCGTGTGCACGTGCGCGTGTGCGTGTGCCTGTTTCTGCGACAAAAAAAAACAGAAAGGAAAATATGGTGGATGAATGCAACCGCCAATTTGACACACAAAGCAGTCGTCGACACATGGGAGCGGGTCTTTCTCGACGTCAGTGACATCAACGTCTTTAACTCGCACGGGCTGAGCCGTATCCTCGCTGACACCAGTAAGGAAACCACTATGGTTTCCATATGTTACTGGGAAGTTTTTCTTCAGTCGTTTTAAGAGCAAACACATGTCAGTGAGGTCTTGCACGAGAGCGCCGAGGACTCGGGCTAGACACCACAGACACTTTGAACTGCACACATAGCAATGATGAGAGGGTACGAGGTCCTCGGGGACGCTGCCTGAAGCGGGCGAAGAACAACTCTTGAGTATTAAGTCGTGCTTTTGCTTACATGCTCGGATGGAAGACGGGGATTAAGGAAAGGGACGGACATTTAAGTGCTGAAGGCAGAAACACTGGTGGCAAGAGTGAAAAGCGTGGCGGTGATTCTAGTTCCTGTAGGTTTTATATGTCTGCAGAAGCGATATCATTGTCTAAACCCTTCTTTGTATGGGAAACACACTGAAATACGCTCAAGCAAGTCAGCGGGTTTAAAGCCCAGCCGGCATGCGTTGCATTCTCCTAAAGGCAACACCGACTTATTTCCTCGTTTTCCTCTAGCCGAGAGTTTTATCTTTACAGGTTTCAAGATGTATTTGCCTTTGACGTTACAATAGAGATCAATGGCGGCCAAAACATTAAAAGTGACATGTCGTTTATCTCTAGATAATCAGGACAACTGACAATAGTCACTTGTCTTCAGCAGCAGCACCATTTCTCAACTCGATTGGATTCTAGAGGAGGATCACAAACGCTGTCCAAACAAAACAAAAAGGATTTCCGTTGTTTTACGTCAGGTTTTTTTTGCCCCTTTCCACTGAATTTGGGTCCACTTTAAAAAAAAAAGCAGGCTCAGAGCATATAATCTGTGCACCGACGTTTACAGTCCGTGTTGTGAATACACTAAAATACACCATAACAGAATGTTACATAGTGAATGTCTCAAATGCACTGTTGGTTCTCAATCACATGACTGTGGTTGATTTGAAGTGTTTCAAGCAGACATAAAGTGACGCCATTGACTGGTAACCCATAACAGTTTCAAGCTGCTGGGGTTGGAAAACAATTTTGTAGCCAAAAGGAGAAATTGCATCAAGACCCAGCGGGGCAAAAGAGAGTGTGTGTGTGTGTGTGTGTGTGTTTTCCTTGGCCCTGTTCCCACCCAACTGGATCCTTAAGCATGGGAACCATTTTGATCAGAGAGACAAGAGATGAAGGAGAGAGGTTGGGTCAGTAGGAGAGGAGGAAGTAAATTCATTTCCCCTCTGCGTGTCTCTGCAGTGTCTTTCCACTGGCAATGGCGTGTGTCCTCTTGTGCCTGCAGTGAGTCATCTTAACCCCCCCACACACACACACACACACACACACACACACACACACACACAAACAGATTTGATAATTGATTGCCAGCAGTGGCATTTGTCTGACAGTACTGTTCATCTAGGGAGATGCACACATCTCGTACTTCCTGGGTTGCTGATAAATAGATGCAGGACCACATTCCGTCTCTTTGCTCTCAGCAAATAAACAGAAACACAATCGCATACATATTCCAATACAGCCGAGTCCAAACCAGTACCGGGCAAAAGTCCCAGAGAGACGGGTTATCCAAATGGTAAGAGGTAACACAGAGAGAGGCGGTGCGGTTGTTCCACGGGACCATAAGGAAATTCCACACTGCAACATGTCATTCAAATATTTAAGCTTGAGGGTTAAATTATTGGCTAATTCATTAAAATCGCCAGTTTAAGTGGGAATTACGTTACACTAGTGTCTAAAATAGGAACTGGAATCGTTCCATTTTGTCATGGGAAATACATTGTATGTACTGTTACAACACTAACTCTAACATTGACTAGACTACTGTGCCATACTGTGCCAGATTTCCAGCTCCGGTCTACACAAAGCCAAACATCGATGCATTTACTAGATTCAGCTGCAGCACAAAGCACTCAAACCCAAAGTCCATGCAGTAACATTATTGTATGGAAAGTTCCCTGCATAGTGCATTAGAGTGTATTGAAGTGCTTAAGTCCGTCGGGATCAATATAAATCGATAGGATTAAATAAATGTCCCTGCAAGCCAGCGAGCGTTCACGCCAGATTGAAAGCAGGTAAATCTGAATATGTCCAATCCGTTAAAAGCACTTCTGAGGGAATATTGCGGTGTCCTAAGTGAAATAATGAGAGGCCTCTCCAATTGTGAAGCACAATGAGTTCTATCGTTATTGTGCCAACGCGATGCCCTCATTAGCCTATTAGCTCACATAGTCCTTCAGACCTCTGGGTCCATTTTCCACATTTTCCAGGATTTGACCACATCGCTCGATCCTTTTCCGTCCCTTTTGCTCTCCATCCGCCCCCCCCCCCCCCCCCATTCCTTCTACACAGGGACTAGTGAGTACGGAACTTCCCCTCCTCCCGTCCCATCTGAAGTTCCATCTGCTGTAGACGGACTAATGTATTCCCCAGTGCTGAGGGGTAGACCTCAGCCCAGCGAATGGACCCCATGGCTACTAATAAACTCCAAGTTCACACAGAAAAGGGGAAAGAAAGAAGACTAAGAAGACGTCTTTTGATTGCAATCAACCTGCTTCATTGGAATCACCCTCGGTTCAAGTCATGCAGGGGACTTCTGCAATGATATAAGAATAAATTATTGTCGACCATGCAGGATGAGATATTTTTGCAAACAAAAATCGGAATATTCCAAACTCTTTTCAGACTTTGTAATACACCTCCGTGCTGCTGCCATTCAGCTGTGTCACCGAGGGAGCGTGAGCCCCGTAAGGCACTCAGCTCTGCTGGGACTCCCAGTCAGGAGGCCCTGAGGCTTTGCAATGCCAACTTGGATCCCTCCGGACCAGTAGACTGAAAAATAAACCCAGACGGGGACTTGGAGAAAAGGAGAGAAAACGCTGCAGATATATCCGGTGACGCAAAGTGTAGAAAAATATGTTTTATTCTTTTCCCTGGAAAAGAAGGCCACATGTGTGTGTGTGATAGTCTCTGCGCGTCGCTGGCAAGTTTTGTAATATCTGAGTTTTTGCAGCACCAACTGCTTGAACGGCAACAGGATCTTGACCGACTGCCAGGCAGCTGTCTTTTAAATACCAATCTGGCTGCACCTGCATTCTCACTTTACTATCACTTGCACTCTGAATAATCTCATGGACCTTGAACACTGTCACGGCAGACTTCAATCAACCAGCCGTCTAATTTCCCAACAGTTTGATGCGAGGTAATGTTTTGATTTTCCTACATGACGGTTGGTTGAGAGCGACCAATTAGCTCAGCTGAGCACAAAGACTGGAAGCAGAGCGTGTGCTGACACCTCCTCGCGCTCATTCTATATTTAGAGAACGTACCTGACCTTAGTCTCGATCTTTTTTCATTTTTCAAGAGGCCCTGCGTCACGTGCCGCTTACTGTCACTGCACTAGTGACACTAGTGACCATTTTACTGGCCTTCGGAGCGCCTGCCGCTTTGACTGACCGGTACGTCGATCTTGATGAGGGCGATGTCGGATTTCTCGTCCACGTCTTTGATTTTGGCGTCGTACGTGCCGCCACTCTTCAGCTCCACTTTCACTCGGTGCTTGTTGGCCACGACGTGGGCGTTGGTCACAATTTGTCCATCTTCTGCCACGACAAAGCCAGAACCGCTGGCCACCGCCACCTCCCGCTTGGAATAGGTCATCCTGAGTGGGTGGAGGGGGGGGGTCGGGGATTATTTCCTTCCACTTCAAAAAAAAACAAACTGATAAGACGGCAAAGCCAACGCGTGATGTAACAGCAGTGTAACGCTTGAAAGCGAGAAAAAAAACGGTTGAAAGCATTTAAGCCTCAAAGGGGTTAAAGTATACACACAAACAGTACGGGGGGATAAAAACAAATACACACTGAAGAGTCAATAGATCACAATCTCAAGGAGGAGCGGCTTTCAAGCAAACTTGAGGGAGAAGCGGCGGAGGAGGGAGGAAAAAGACAAGAGACAGATCTGAGTGAGAGAAAAGTGGAAATCAAAGAGCCACAGATGTGTAAAAAAAAAAAACACTTTACGAGCAACAGCAAAACAGAGAATCAGGCGCTGCACCGACTGGTGTGGTCTGGTTAAGTACACAGGTGGGCTATAAATGCTCGTGTTTCACACGCACACACACACACACAAAGGTGGAGGGCTCTTACTTGCGGAAAAGTTCAATGTGAACAACAGACGGAGCGATTTTCTCCACCACGTCGGCGATGAAGTTGTACTTGTGTCTTGGGCTGTCTGGGTTGTCCCGAGCTGGAAATACAACACACACACACACACACACAGGAAATCAGATGAGTAAAGGCAAACGAAAGACAAACAAAAGCACTGAAATACTGCCTGATGTGAGCGCTGTGCGGGAATAGAAAACCAACAAATAAAACAGTCCTTTATCGTAACACGGAGGGGGAAAGAAAAGACGGCGGTTCCTCCGTGGGCTCGTTCTGACACACAATCCAAACACACTCATTAACAAACCCCCGACCCAGACCCCAAACCTCTCACACAAACGCTCAGCCTTGACCTTCACCCCTCTCACTTTATTCTTGACTGTATGCAGTGACTCTACATTCTTAAACAGACCAAACTTTGACTCATATACACACACACACACACACACACACTATCTGACACTGCCAAATTCTCTGGATAAACCCTCCGACCATCTATCCAAGGCAAGTCAGGAAATGTTGAAGGATTTACCTGGTGATTAAGGTCTTCCCAGAAGACATTTCAACCAAAGCTTTGAATCCTGAAACGTTTTGCTGTGAGCTTTTCGTCCTTCTAATGCGTGAATCCTTATTTTGCCACGAGCCTCAAACGATCTTGTCCCACAAGAATAATTTTCAGCTCTTGCAGATCAGAGTTAGGAGAAGTCAAAGGCCCCGTAAAGCCCCGAGATATCGTTGATTGCACCGAAGGGTTAAGGGAAGAGAAAGAGACTTTCCACTTGAGGTGCATTTAAGCTATCAGAGGCATGGAATGAGCACCATCTTGCCTGAACTGAATGCCACTTAATTATACAGCATGAAAAACATTTGTCAACCCGCAGGGGAAACATTTCGGTGTTATATGATCATGCAACTCAACTTTGCAAGATGCAATGCAAGCCTGGACGGTGGCGGAGCGGCGCCTTGAATGCTGCCACGCTGGTGTGATAATGTTCACCAACATGCTTTGTGTTGCATTGGTTTGTTATTATTTTACAGGTATTTTGTCAAAAAAGAAAAAAACACTTATTGACAAATTGTAATTTTGAACCAATGAAAAGTCAAGGGATCATCAAAGTGATTACAGTTGATCTTGACATGAATGTCTACATCTGATTCCTTACTGTCGTGAGCATTTGAGTTCATGATGGCGGATATCCGGCAAATCAAAGCAGGCGAAAAAGTGAAAGAACCCATCGGAAATCCGCACAAATGAACTGTGGTGGAGAGACGAGAACACCAAGCTTAATATTCCAAAATGTTGACAACTGCCCAGGACCAAATTTCATAAAATGGTTGTGCAGACATTAAATTCAAATAACCCTAACCCCAACCCAATGGTCAGGCAATAGCTTAAGTCAGTGAATTTCAACATCTGAGGAGCATGAACATCTGTACAAAAAGTCAAAGCGAACAATCTGTTGGGTGGGCAGAAGTGCTGGACAAACCAAGAGAGCGTCAGAACGTGTTGTCCCTCAAGAGGATCAATCTCTTCAATTCCCCCGTGTTACGATGAGCGTTCTGTCTTCTCACGAACACACGGACATTCACTTCCGGAGAGATGCTGCTTCTAGAGCAGCGCCATGCGACGACGCTAGAACAACAGACCCGCTGGTGACCAGTTGTTTAGAAATAAATCATCATAAATCAGGTGCTCTGGCTCACTTACATTAGTCGGGCTAAATTACTGATTTATTCTCTGTGTGGGATTATTTCAATGCTGAGCTGAGCTTAGAAAGGGGCTTTGCAGTCGTAGAATAAAGTTGATTTACGAGCAAATGTCTCCTGAAACTGTCCTGAAAGTCATTGATGTGTGGAGAGAGTCAGCGCTTTGGGTATAGCGCTAGAATCCCTGTAATTAAAAGCAGAATCTCTACTTTGTGCAAAATAATTATGCATTTAAAAATGGGCATCACAAGGCCAGAAAAAGGGAGATACCTGAAATAGTAGAGTTAACTTAAACAACTTGTTGTTAGATAGCAATGCCTCATTTGTTATAAGCCAATACAAATGTACTAGCTTTAACTGCATTTACAAGCTAATGGGGACCAGATGAGTTGGTAGTTACCAAGAAATCTGCATTATGTTTTTATGAGCAAGGGTAACTTTACAAGCATTTTACAAGCTAATAACAACCAAACAAATAAAAACACATGCATGAAATATCCGTCCGTGCAAGACAGCTTTTAGCTATTCAGAACAGCTGTGTTTCATTAGCTGTAGTTATATTATAGATTTAAGCATATGAGTAAGTAACCGAGTGTTTGAGTCATTTGGAAATAAGCTATTTCAAACTTGGTAAAACGGGAACAAAGTGATCATAAGTACTGAGAATATGCAGCGTCCCCTCCTACGCTGTAACAATGTGTGGATGACAAATATGGCCGTAGAGTTGTAGCCTTTTATTCTGACTCTTTGTTATTTCTGTCGCTTTCAACATCATGCTACATTGTTCTATTCCGATATTTTTTAACCCGAGCAGAGGTCCAATCAGGGAAATTGATTGGTGAAAATGAACGGAAGCTTTGAGCATCGGTTGACTTCAGATGTCGAAAAAGAAGATTATGTGTGGAGTCGAGCCAATGACAGGAAGTCGCGCAATCACAACATTTTAACACAGAAAGTTCACATAAAGTACTTCTTTCATTTTTGTTTTCTCTCTCTCTCTCTCGCTCTCTCTCTCTCTCTAAGGCCCTCCACCCTCAACGCTCCATGCACCCATCACCTCGTTCCTGCTCCTCACAATCACCTTCACCACACGGATCCACACTCAACAACTATGTTTTCTTTCTGGATTTTCATCCCCGTAACACCCGCTGATTTATTGGCGCCTGCAGACGGAAGCAGTTTTTTCTGGTCCTCTGGACGAGAATACAGAAAGGCCAGTTCCTCGTTATGCACGGACACACACACACACACACACACACGTTCTTTATTGTTGGGCAAACTGAGGCCCTGCAGAGCCATATGCAAAATGTGGGAAGTGTAAGGAAAAGAATATGTTTTCATGCAGTTACATAAGATTGCTCCCAGTACGTCAATGGTTGGCTCAAAACACATGTGTGACTTAAAAGATGTAAATGTTTGAGCTCAAAAGTGGAACATTGTGAGTCATTTAGTTTGGAATGGAAAACCGGCAACATTTCAATTTGGTTTTAATTGTTGCTTTTTGATTCAAGTCTAACAAAAAACGTGTTTGTTCTATCTGATCAAACGCAGGGCTGTTTCAGCAGCACACTGTGAGGTAAGAGGTTGTGCATTACACGCAGGATGGAGGGAGACACAGACTACTCTCAAATGTACAGGAAGAAATGCTGATACATGTAACAGTCACTACTCTGGCAGACAGGACATTCAACACTCAGGCGGCCCGAGAAGTCATCGCTTTGTGTGCTTTTATCAGCGGGACTCTAAGGACACACAAACTCCTTGTGGTCAGAATGAGACACACGAGAGAATAGCAGCAAAGGATGTCTGTGAATTAATCTGCAGCAAAGACAGAAGGAATTAATGAGAGAGAGAGAGAGAGAGAGAGAGAGAGAGAGAGAGAGAGAGTATATCAGGCATTGTGAAGGAAGGGGGATAGACGAGAAAACCAGACAGAGAAACGTGCAGAAAACCGGAGCGGAGACGGGCCGACACAACATAAAAAAAAAAAGGAAAAGACACATTTAATATGATGAGTGGCCGAGGCGAGCCGGTGAGGAATGTGCATATTCAGCACATGTCACTACGGAGTCACAGAGTGCATTCTGCTGCAGCAGCACAGCTTCCCAGCAGCTACGCCTTTTACTGGGTTCTTAATTAGATTTAAATCTAACCCACTGAAAACACCTGCGTGCCCACAACTTCATGCTCCCAGGCAAATTCTTACATTTTGTGGGTCGTTTCAGAGGCCGATGTATGTGGTTCAGTGTAACACGGAGATGTTTGGGGCCTCCCGTTGCATAAAGTCCTGCATGTCATCCTCCTCTATCCTCCAATTTTTTTGTTTTAAAGTGAGTGAATGACCAAATATTACGCCGCTTCACCGCCCAGACACAAAAAGACACATGCAAGGTGTGCTTGTCTTCTTAACATGAGGCCAAGTTGCAGGGTCTCTATAGAGTTTTTTCTGCAGTCTTGATTATAGTTTAAAAATAAAAATCTAACAGGAGAGGTTCTACTAATGGGACATCTGATTCAAAGAATGACTCCTATTACAGTTATGGAGACTTGCGCCGGGTTCCTTGGAACATCAGTGGCCCTCGCCACAGTCCTGCTCGGCTTTGGACGTGGTCAGCTGCCCGGGCATGACCTAACTATGTAAGTTGCCTACACGACAGACAAACAAATGCGGTCGTGCAGTCTGCCCCACCACAACGCCCGCACACGTAAACCTTTCCCCAAAATATGGGTCGCTAATTTCGTGTTTCCTTCGGCGTCTCTGTTATAAACTGTCTTCAACTGAGGAGGAATTGTGGCTTTGAATTGGCACCAGGCATTCCTGACAACAGAAAGTCAGAGAGCGAGAGGCACGGGGAGAGAGGGAGGGAGAGAAGAGGGGAAGGAGTTGTGCGGTTGAGGGAGGAGGGCGAGCTGACTTTCCGAGCTCTGAGGTAAGTCATCGGCCTTTGAGGACGAACAGGTGTTGAAGCTCTTCATTCAGAGTTTTCTCAACTGCAGATGTGGCGCTGCACTTCAGATGGATGTAAAGCGCCTTTTACCACCTGCGGCCTTGTGTGCTTTCCCGTTGCTGAATACTTTGTACGCGGTCTTGAGATAAATCACGCACACTTGTCGCCAACGATGATGAATGGCCGCCTGATGAAATTGCACAGAATGTGCATTCTCAGCCGGGCGTCTCGAAGAAGGATGTGTGATTATCATCGAGCTGCACCATTTAGGGTGAAATACTTTTCACACGACACTCTGACAAAGTGCAGGTCTCTCACACTGAAAGCAGTCATTGCAAATGTGTCACTTCGGAGCCGTTTCGTGAGGCCGACAGTCTAATCTACTAACGAGGCTTTGGAATTTCTCTTCTGTTCGGGCTTCACTGGCATGAGCTGTGTTGTTTCAAACAATCAGCCGGATTATAGCCGTGTGACTGCTCACATCGAGCTTTACATCAGGGGAGAACTCATGACTTCATTCAGCCGGGCGAAAAGCTGAAGCAGCTCCGTGCTGGAGTCTGATTGTAATGCAGGAGTGAGAGGGAAGCGCGGCTGAATGGCGACTCTTGTCATCCTTTACAAAACGGGGATTGTGTGCCACCGAATGCAGCTTCGAACTCTAACAGCACCAAAGTCCTGTGAGGATGTGAGGGGGGGGAGGGGGTCAAACGTTGAAGAGCAAGTTGTGAAGAAAGTGTGCAGATTGAGACGAACAAACAGTCCAGTGGATCTCAAAGACAAAGTCATACGTTTGTTTATCTCAGCATGAAGTGTTCCAACTGGACTCATAATCCTATCAAATGATCTGTGTAGTGTTTTGATCCCCCCCCCCCCCCTCCCAGCCTCACCTTTCCCGCAGGCTCCCCGCTGAATGAGAACAACAGGTGGCTGCTGCAGCTTCTGCGCCCGCCGGCTGACCCGCTTCAGCTCGCAGACATTCCGGTAGGACACCCCGTCGCTTCCGCAGACCGGCTCGGCGGATTTGCAGGCGCAAGTGCCGCTCTTGCTTCTCCTCCTCACGGTGGTGGTGTACGCCACCCCGGCGGAGACCGAGCACTCCAGCCCCTCTCCGCACACCGGGTCCCCGAGTTTACCCAGGCCGCCGCACGCCTCGCCCTCGCCGGACGCGCACACCTGGCAGCAGTGGCAGGCGTCGAGGATTTGCCCCGCCGGGCAGTGCGCCGGCATCCGGGGACACATCGACTTGTCACACTGAGCGGGACATCCGACGACGAACCGGCTGGAGATCTGCGCGTCGGCCGGCGCGGACGCAAAGGCTGCGATTACGCACAGGAGTGTCCAAAACATGGTTCCTTAAAGCGACACTAAAACAAGTTGTAAAAAGTACACGCGTAAAAGAGTTCCAGAAGCTCGCTCTCCGCTCGCAGTGCAACAGGATGAGAGAGCTCAGTAGTAATGAGAGAGAGAGAAGGGGGGGGGGGGGGTTACTTCAACTGGAAAGGCATTTAAAAAGAAACTCCACTGCGCAGCCACTTACGTTTTTTGCTGGCAGCACAAGGCGGACGGAAAAAAACCGGGTGAATGGTTCGTCTGCGTGGAGCAACTGCGGTGTCTTTGTCGCCGGAAGTGTTAGAATTAAAAATACAGAAAGAGCAGAACATTCTGCAGTTCTGTTTCTTAAAGAAACAGCATTGCAAAAGAGTTAAACGTGTCTTTCTCAAGCCAACCCTCGTCAATATTGGCCTTGGCCCCGATTTAGTTATTTACCAACAAATACCAACAGATAATGAAAAGGTGTGGGACGGAAACACAGCACGGCAGTCCAGATGTTCGACATGCTGCATGCGTTTTTACAACTCCCTTTATGAATAAGTTGCTCCTGGCATCCACACAAGCCCTCTGGCTAATTATAACAATCACTAGTGGGAAAAAGTTAGGAGGATTGAGAGATGTGTGGAGTTAATGTAAGACTTATAAACAGCCGACTTTGCCCTAATTGCAACATTGCAAGAGAAACCCTATTTTATGATCTCATCCTGGTTCTAACTGCACCCAGGTTACGGGGAAATAAACAGCATCTAATTGGAAAATCCTCCCAAACTATCCAGCCTATCCGGTTCAAATGTAGATCAAAAAGAAGTATTTAGCCACATACATTTCTCTTGGAAAACTATTGTACCTCTGAAAATGTAACCTTCAAGCAATTCATCTGTTTAAAAAAAAAAAAAGATTTAAGTATCAATGGACCAAATGTTGATTCCGGCAAATAAATCTGCGTTGGCTTTAAATGTCTGGGGTGAGCCGTAAAAGTAAATGCAGCAAACACTGAGGTAATTAATCAGTGTAATAAAACCTCTCAATATAATGTGAATGATTATGGGAACAGGGTTATTAATGGCTGTCTGGCTCAGGGGAGCACCACTGCTGCTTGGGAACAGAGTGGATTGTGGGATGCAACAGGCAATTAGAGGGGCATGAAGGGATGGAGGGCAGTCATGTGCTCTCAAAGACTGGACAGGAAACGGTGACATTGTACAATTTAGCAGTGAGGCCGTGCATCTGCATCATCGTCATCATCATCATCATCATCATCATCATCATCATCCTCAGACCAGAACCTTGTTTTCATGCGTGGTTTCAAGTCCATACATGAAAACAAGCTCATCTACAAGGAACACCCATTCTCAAACGAGGCCAGTGACTCAATGAAGCCATGAAGTCTGGCCTCTCCCCTCTAGGCTGCAAGGACGCCTCTGGCCGTGAGCGAAGGCCTCCAGAGTCCAAACGGGGATTCGTTCCTGCACATCTGCAGCCCGGCCAAAGCGCTTCTTTCTCCAATCAGGAGCTCGGACGAGCTGCAGCCCAGAATGTGTCCCCGCTGGTTATCGGGCTGATTTGAGAGGCTTTACATATTCCGTGTTGCTGCATGAGCTCACTCTGCAAAGCCATCTACACACGCTGCTCAACGCCACAGGCTGCAAATGTAAAGAGGAGCTGATGAAGGACGCGTTGAGGAGGAAATTGATACTGGAAGTATTGAATACATTTACTTGGGTACTTACTCATACTTCGTAGTTCATTAATTATACTTCACTTCTAGTCTAGAAAATAAATGGTAATTCAATAATATGACATGTGATAATGATACTTATATGGTTTGATAAAATCAATGTTTCCAAAGCTAATCCCTCACATTGGGGTACTTCTGCTTTCACTTAAAGCTACTACAAGGAACCTCCATTCAGCGTTGATTCTGCCGGATGACATTGATGAGGTTTTACAGCACCAGAGTCCCTTCAGGAAACGTCTTGTTTTGCTGCAGCAGGGTGGACAGTTTGCCAGACTATACTAATTGTTAAATATGAATTACCAAAATATGAACTTATCAAATACGATTATTCCTGATCTGCTCTGCTATATTTGAAGATTAAGGGTTGCAACACCGGCCACTATTTTCAATTCTGACCACTAAATTATTGCAACATTGATGAAACCTCAACGGAAGGGAATCGAGGGGAAGTTGTGTTTTCTCTCACCACAAGAGGGCAGAGGCAGCCGCACATCAAATAGTCAAAGCTTTATTTTAAGCTCTCATAGTAATTGTGCCATTTGAAGAAATAAAAGCACAAATACTGAATAATACTCCAGATGACCCGAGCACATTGTCAGTGTTTATTTCTTTCAAGTCATCCACGTAATAAATAGACAATTCAAATCAGTAACACCAGACTGAAAAGGGGTGATATAGTTTGACTTGGTTGGGCTGAGAGGAAGCAGGCACTTAAAACAACAAAAAAGAAGACATTGGTGCGCGTTATTTATCAGCACTACAGTGAGACATTTTTATACATAAAACCTCAAGGCAGCTGCCTGCTACTGGGTCAGATACACAGGAACACGAAACGTCTTAAAAGAGGGGGAAAAAATGTGCTGCACTCGGTTCTATTCAGCACAGAGACGATCTGAGGGATCATTCATCGTTCTGATTGTTTTCGATGTGAGACGATGGTTAAAAATGTTTCCACGGTGTTCCGACAGCGCTCATCTTCAAACGCCGGACTGCAGGTTTAATTGACTCATCCCAGAGCAATTATTCGATCCATCAGGTAACGGCGATCATCCGTAACGAGAAAAGCGCTGCGTTTCCAGCTTTATTACTGTGAATTACAAACATGCACACACGCGTTCACCTTGGACTGCTCGTTGACTCCCCACGAGATCCAGTCACAAAAGGATGAGTCCACACGCGCACACAGTCGTGTTAAAATGTGGAACAAAAAAAAAAAAAAGGTTCATTTAGGATGTGAAGTGATATTTGTACGGTGATAACTTTCATAGTATGTTTTGTGCTGCTGCAAAGAACTTTCACTTCACCAGGAGGTGTGATGAACTGTACAAACTACTGACAGCAGACGTGAGCTACTTTGGCACGTACTCGACTAAAAATCACACCGAGGACACCTTTATTTCATTTGAATTAACCTTCCGGTCAATTAAAAATGAAGACAAAAAAAAGCTTAGAAACATTGTGGCTGCGATACATTTGTTCTTTTTATAGACACACATTTTAAATTCTTTGCATCTTGTCCTGGAACAGTCCCGGATCTTTGAATTACAATTTGCATTTGAGTGAGCCAATGATTTCACACTAAGCTCGAGCCACATCTCCATCGCAGACAAATCCTGTACAATAGTGTGTGTGTGTGTGTGTGTGTGTGTGCGCAGCGCACATGTAAATTAGTAGATAAGGTGACGAAAAGCCAGTCCTCAGTTTGAACTCTGAATGTTTGCCACCTTTTTAAAAGTTCCCTTATTTTCTCGGTTTACAAAAGCCCTCCGTCTGACTTCTGCCTCCGCGGGTTCAAACGAAGCTCCGTCAATCAATTGTAATCAGCACGAGTTCACTAGAATTTGACAACATCAACTCAGTAAATAAATATGTCATTTGTAAATGCGACAGCATGTAGGCAGAACGTGGGCGGGGGGCGTTGAAGGGTCGGGGGCGGGGGGGCGTGTCGTCTTTGGCACGCGAGTGCAGTTCAGTGGCGGTGACCCAACTTTTATCTTAAGCACACCAACAGAGGAGCTCCATACATGACGCGCGCAGGCTTCCCTCTCCAGGATCGTCGGCAACGTCCAAACCGAGTTCTGGCGTCCTGGTCGTCCCCCCCCCCCCCTTCCGGCGGGCTCAGACCTCGCTCACTGGCAGGTCGCCGTCGTCCAGGTCCACGCCGGATTCGGGCACGTGGGGCTCAAAGCTGCTCCGCCGTCGCCACGGCGACTCCTCGGCGCCGTTGACGCCGTCCGCGGGCGGCTCGCGGCTCACTTGGCCAGTCGCGCCTCCTGCAGGGAAAGGCGCGCCGGCGCGCGGCTGTGGCTGGGCCGGGGCAGCAGGCTCATGAAGTGCTCGCTGTCCCACGCCAGGCTGCGGGCGTGTGCCGTACGGGACGGCAGCCCCCCACTCGGGGTGGCATGGTGGCATGGCAGATATGGGCGAGCGAGGGGCGGGGGGCCCCGCGGGGCTGCGGTAGAAATGGGAGCGGCCGCCATGGTCCTGCAGCAGAGACAGCGGGAGAACACGGGGGGGGGGAGAAGACAACAGCGCGGCGGTTAGTGAGCAAAGTGAAAACCCGGACGGGCGCGCTGTGTATTTGAGGGGACGGAAAGTGAGTTACAGACTTGGTGTTAGCGGCAGCATGTGGAGCCGGTAATGCAGCATTAGCAGAGTTGGTACTGAAGTTGAAGGTGCTGAAGAATGTAGCATTGCTAAAGAGGGAGATGGTAGTAGCAGTAGAAGAAGAAGTAACGGGAGTAGTGTCAGCAGGTTTTAGTTATTGTAGTCTCAACAGGTTGCAGGGGGAGGGAGCCTTAGGAAGCAGTGGTTGTTGCTGTTGCTCAGTATTTCACAGCTTTTCATTGTCAGATTTCAATCTCTGAAACACAAAACAGACAAATGGAAAAGAAAGAAAGGAAGGAGGAACACATGGCAGAGAAAGTGAAAGCAGGGGGAGTTGCTAAAATGTTGGTTAGAGAAGCATCCCACGTATACAACAACCTCTGTGTGTCAACTTCAAACCTACTCGACTCTGGATTCTCCCACAGATGCATCAGGATACCCTGTAACTAGGGGCCTGTTAAAAACCTGATCTGCAGATCCACAAAGTGCCTCTTAACAGAACACGATTTAAGAATCCGTTTGCTCATACAAACATGACTAAAACAGCCCGGATAACTTTGCCATTGCGAGGGATGAGGGGCGAGAGGCAGGTTGGGTTTCTTTTTTTAATATCGATTCGAATTTTAAGGGCTGTTCAGAAGATCAGGCAACATACAAAACTAAAGACATCCCATTAGCCCCTTGTAAACTTAAATGGGCTCCTACAAAATCAGAGTATTGATGTGTAAACCGCCAGACCGTAATATAAAAACTAAAAGCTTGAGACCCTGGACCCGTGGCTTCAGCTCTGGCGGGACTTCAATTCAAAGCCGTTAAATCATTTAGCACGCAAATTTGGACAGGCGGTCAACGTGGTAACAAGTATCTTATTGTGTATGTATCAGAAAGAGAAAAAACAAAAACAAATAAAAGAACATACAGGCAGCGAACAGGAGGGAAGAGGAGAGACAAGCAGGATGTCACACATCTAAGACAGGTGCACAGCTGCAGCAGACTGCAGAGATAACAGAGCACGAAGGGGAAGAGAAACACAAGGTGTGAAAGACACATGTACACAGTAATACAGACACCAGGTAGAAACAGGCTTTAGGTATTCAGAGATAAGCTGGTAGGTGCATTGCATTGGATTCCATTTGTTACACTAAAGCATCCTAAATAATGGGGAGGACAGGTGGGTCTATAGGGGAGGGAGGCATTCTGAACCAACGCATTACTCATTAACATTTGTACAACTTGTGGCGTTCTCGTTTTTTTGTTCCGTGTCAGCGGCACGTCTTCACTTTGGAGAGGTTCAATCCAGGACACCTCGAGTCCTAGAATTCCTGAACTGAAGCTTTAATGTTTTGACTGCTTGAGCGCACTGGATGGAAGGAGCTCAAACCCTTGAGCGGAGTTTAAAGTGACGAAAAAAGAAAGGAAAGCAAACGAGGAGGAGGGCTGGATGAGGGAAGCAGCGAGGACGAGGCCATGAAGGGAGGAGCGCTGGTTTCGGGTTATCGCAGCCATACATGGTGGTCGGTTCATGAGCAAATAAGGAGCATCAGATGTGCCGTAAGATCTGACCGGCTCTCAAAAGCTCTGCAACCACAGGGGGCGGGGGGGGGGGGGGGGGGGGGGCAGCCAGTGAGTGGAAAACAGTATTTAAAAAAAACACCTTTGTTTAAAAGGGGGAGGGGGGGATTTAGAGGAGCTGACATACGTGCTGCTGCACTCCCCGATTCGAGACGTATACCTCTGTATACAGGGGTTCGACAGCCGTCTGGCCTGCCGCATCTGCAACAACACAGTGCAAAGCAGTATTAGAGCAGATGGGCCGTCTGCCCACAGGGAGAGGAGGACGGGGAGAGAATGTGACAAAGGAGGAAGAGGGGGAGAGACAAGGCACAGAAGAGGAGAGGGAGAGGGGTGGGGGCGACTAGCTACAGAGAAAGAGAGAGAGAGAAAGACACAGAAGGGAACTGGAGAGAAATCAACAGCGCAGTGGTGTTGACGGTAATTCCAGTCCAACCGGAAGGGACCGACTGCGTCGGAGGGCGCGCTCTCTCTCTCTCTCCTCTGCAGTCTGGACAACGGAACGGGTTCGCGTCTCAGGTCCGGCAGCCTCTCTCGGTGCCGGGACGCTGCGGATTCTCAACTCAGGTATTATTTTTCCCCACACGGATCTGTGCGAGTGAACGAGTACGTCGCCACGACGTAGATGGTGACTGTTAGTACAGTCGCCCTACTGATAATAGGCACAACATGGCCAGAAAATAAATAACTACATAAAAGTTTTTTGCGGTTGGGTGGTGACGAGGTGGGACGAGGGGAATGCGGAACAGACTGTGCAAAGTCCTTTGAAAATACAGCAAAGAAAGGCTGTAAAGTAAAAAAAAAAAAATGTGGTGAAAAATGTCCCTTGGCCCGATGCCAGTGCGCGTCTTGGGAGTTACAAGCTACTGGTGCATAGAACACAAAGTGGAACTGAGCTTCAATCTTGTTTTGCGACTGAACCACCACAACAGCTGGACGTGATATATTCTAATTTCCTTAAGAAAATCATCTGGAAAACCCATCCGAGGTATAGAGTCAAACTGCCAATCTGCTGGTTCACAGCTACATTTTAGGTCTCACGTCAGATTCAAGTCAACTTATAATCGACTTGAATCCATAACTATGGGGAAAGTGTACTGTGCAGTATACATACTGTGGCAGCTGATCTCCCTGGACCCCGCTGGGCCACGATGGCCCCCGAGACGGCCTTAATCCAGCTGTGCATCTCCTCTTGGCTGTCCGCCTAGTGGAGACAAAAATAAAAGGACAAGTCATTGACGAGCGAGAGAGGGAGAGCGAGAAGGTAGACAGACATCACGGTACCTGGATGTAAAAAGTCCTGGATGTGGTGACGACTTCAAACAGATTATCTCTCATCATGATGTCACTGCAACGGGAGCGTAAACGAGTCAGATTGCATTCATCTCATCTATATTATCTCTATCAGAGAGGATAAAAGCACCTCCTGCTGATAAAAGCACCCAGTAAAGATGTATTTTTCTGGTGGAATGTGAAAATGCCGAGACATGTTAAATACCTCTGTTTGCACTCGTGGACTTTGTGAACTTCCTTCAGCGGGATCATTCTCAGCGGCTCTTTCTCCTAGAGTGAAGGATATGGCTATTTACATTAAAAAAGGCCCAAACTGAAAAAACGGTACTTACTAAATATGTCTTTTTCAAAAACAATGGGAAAAAAGAGGTTGTGTTGCTGAGTTTTTCCGTTTTATGTGGACAGAACTTTGCTCACAAGTAGCAGGCTGCGAGATAAAAGCTGTGACAGTTGTGACTTTCTTGACCCGGACGTTTGAGACTGCATACAAGGAGTCTGTGTCCTTGGGGCCTGTTGATGGCCAAATAGACAGACAGAGCTGTCAAATAAGGGCAAACACGGACAAGGACAGGGTAAGAGACGTGCAGTATTGTCCTAAGGACACTGTGTATGTGTGTAAGGAGGGCCTGGGGGCGGGAGGCATGACAGGACATGTGAAGTGAGAGCATTGAATTCCACAGACGGCAGATAAAACATGTCAGAACTCGGGACTGTGTGTTTGTGTTTGCCCGGCCTCAGACTGAGGGGTGAATCCAGTCCACATGCCTCAATAAAATAAAATAAAAACATTTCTTAAAAGGCTTTACACAACTTAATCAAAGTTTAATTACCAAATCTGACTTAAAGTAACTCATTGAGTTTTCCTCCAGAAGAAAATAGCGCCGCTTCCAGTTCCTCATCTGGGGGGAGAGAGGGAGGGAAGGGAAGATGCTCAGACCGCAATAAAGCCACAATAGAAATTACAGTTATAAAATATATATATATATATATATATATATATGAATATAAACACACACAAACACGTCTCCGACCATCACCACGTGCCAAATACAAAAAGCGATTGACATTTGCTTCCACGTCGGGGAACTTTTTCTCGGTACCCACCACGGCGCCCTGCTTGACGCAGTAGCCCGACTTGATGACGGTGTGCTCCTGAGTCGGCCTCGCCTGGAAGTAGGGCAGCTGGCTGTGGGAGCGATGCAGAGCCTCACGCTCCGTTCTGCTGGCGCCGTCGCCGCCGTCGTGCTTCAGGGAGAACGAGACCGGAAGTATTGTGATTAAACAGTTCCAAACAGTAAAAAAAAAAAAAGGCAGTCAAGCTTCAAAATAACAACTTGCATTAAAGGCAGTATCAGGTTACTTTGTGCCTGTAGTTAGTGACAGCTGCGTCTAGCTGAAGTCTACTTCATTTTTAGACACGTTAAGGGATGCCATGTGCACGCATGCGACCCCAGTAAGCCGTGCAGTACGCGTGCGCCATGTTTACCTGCGTCTGAGTGACGATGGGGACGCCTCCAAAGATCTCCGTCTTGTAGGACACTTGTTTCTTTGGCCCTACGACATCCGGTAAAGCCTTATGGTTCTCTGCGTTCTGCTGCCCGTCTGACAACTTTGGCACCTTAGGAGAGAAAACAGTTTTTTTAAAAACACACAAATAATAAAACCACAAGAAACATTTTGTGGAATACAGCTGTAGGTTGGGAACCTCTAACACGTTTAACATGATCTCTTTTCTGCACGGTAAAGGCCTCATGGAGAACAATAGAAACAGTCCTTTGTCCCAGCACTCAATACAACATCCTGTTAGTCACACGGTGACTCACTCCGATCCGGCGTCTTGACAGAATAGTCATTCATTTCTTCAGAAAGGGAAGAAATGAAAGTTCTCCAAGTGGTACAACAAGAGGCCGGCTGGCTCAGTGTGTTGGTCTTACAGTGATCTTGGTGGCATTATTGAGAGCGTTGACCCAGTCCACCAGGTCCTGCTGATCGTTGGCCTGCAGGAAGTACTTCCTCATCCCAGCGTTGATGACTAATGGGTCATTAAAAAGAAAGGAGAGAGAAGCGGGAACAGTTCAAAGAGTGAAAGTATTTTCAGACCCCACTGTAATCTCCACACTGCATGCTCCGATTCACCCCGTGTTTAGCGGGACTCGCATGCAAGTAAGCCCTCGAAGCCCAGAGAGGTGGAAGTTGACCAGCTGCGCCTTTTGGCCCGTTTTCAATGGCAAACATGACTGAGTGTCAGCAGATCAGAACCACGGATTTCTCAGCGAGGAAGAAGCAACTGGGCCAAAGGAGTCTCCCGGCATGTGGACGATGACCCAGCTGCCTCAGTCTGCCGCCACCTACCCGCTTCTCACCATGACGGAGGAAAAGAACAAGCCCGTGGCTACAAATCGCCAAATGTTTCCCGCAGTTTCCCGCTCAAGCAAACAGCTTTTACTCTTTTTTTCTGTTTGAAATCTCAAAGAAAATGTTGGGTTAAATGCTGATTAGCTATGGATCAGGATTTAGGAGCTGAATCTCGTTCGCTTTCTCGGCCATAAATCCTTAAATTGTCCTTGTGTCGCCTCCATCTCCTCATGACAACATGGGAAGGAATTACATTAAAGACGTGGTAAATCTAGCGGGGGCAGGCTGAAAAACCCACTAGGAGCTAAAATTCTGCGATATTCTACCCTGTTCTGTGCGCTTGCTCCGGCTCTGACACACACGCAACACCTTGCTTTGCCCTTTACACACACACACACACACACAAACACACACACACACAAACACACACACACTTTCCTGTAAATACACCTGCCTCTCCGCTCTCATTCCACCTTCAGACTGGCACACTGTGCGTTTGGTAAACTACCCGATAGCAGGGACACTGGGGTGGTCTCTGGTGGGAAGACAGAGGAGGGGTCTCAGATCTGACTCACACATGCTTAAAAACAATTAGTGCTGCAGAAAAACGCAGGCAACCAGGTTCACACGAAACACCCTTTACTACCCCCCCCCCTCCTCAGGAACAGAGCCATATCCACCATCAAATCACAGGCTGCTCCCAGACCTCCACTCTCACCTCGGCGTCTCACTGCAAAAAAGGCGCAGTGTGACGTCCATCACCTCCTCTTTCTCAGTACTTGATCTGCCTACGATCCAACTTGCCAGACGCGGGAGGAGCAGAGGGAATCCAAGATGTTCGCAAAACATGTGGCACACAAACAGTAGTTTAAAAATAACTTCATACGGCTCGGATTCAGGTTCCGATTAGGATGTAGGCATCCTGTCCAAACCTCAACAAGGCAATAGTGCACGCACACACACACACACACTATTTCCTGCTATTGAAGAGGATGAGGGGGGCTTGTCCGCCATAACACGGAATGGACGGTTTACACAGAAATAACCTGAAGATGGTTCATATTTACTCACGCCATTTTTCATTCCTGTCTGGTCCGCACTGAGTAAAAAGACAAGAACTAAACAATATCTGGGCTTCTGAACCGTCCCAGGCAGGACGTGTGGGTGGTGGACGGATGGGGCTGAGTGCATTGGGATCGCTTAAAGCTGCCAGAGTGCGTCAGAATGGCTCGACCCTGGTGGCTGGATCACTTCAGAACCAAACCCCTCCCCACCACACACACGCGCACACGCACACACACACACACACACACAAACAAACGCTCGGACCAGGGAAACTGGGGCAAGTGTCCAAAATATTCTTTAACTTGTTTTAAACACACACAAACTAATTATTTTACAGGCAGAATGCACCTATGTATCGATGTTAGCTGGGCCTTGAAAGTTAGTGATGCACCACTTTAACAAAAGAAGACCACAAGCTGATTAAATGAGTTCAATAAACGGTTCAAACTTTACATTTTGCAAAATGTTTTGTGGCGTGGGAGAACTCATTTAAAGTGCTTGAACGGCGAGTTGGTAAGGACAAACTGGTGATGTGGCCGCCTGCATCAAGTTGGTTAAACAGACAAATCAGACACAGCTACTCCATGCCACCATAAAAGGTTTGAGACATCACTGAATCCTTTCCAAGTTGATCTGTAGTTCCCCACTCCTCCAGTAAACAATCAAGCTGGTATTCTAATGCATGAAATCCAAAAACCAAAAGCCTGTCATCTTCTTTGTCTTCTTACCGAAGCAGAACTCGGCCTTGGGCCTCAGCTTGGTGGCGTCGCTGACCTGAAGGAGGACAAAACCCACAATTGTTAGCTTTCCAGTTCGATCGAATAAATGGTTTCCATTGGCGATATTTATTGTGTCAGATAAGATTCAGTGGTAATATTTCTCGTTACCTTAGAGATGTAGGTGAGCTTGAGGGAACCGACGCAGTCTGTGCCGGCAGGCAGGTTCTGTGGGAGAAACAGCACAATATTTAATGCAGGCAGCGGAAGCCTAAACGAACCATTAACCATATTAATAAGGCAGGAGCTTTATCTGTGGATTAATGGCCGCACAGAATGTGGGAGAGGGAAGTCAATAGTTCAGAGAAGCACAGTATTCGTTATGCACTCCATGGTAGTTGCTCTGTTCCTGAAACTACAGGATCCAGATCCAACATCATTAAAATTTCAACTTTTTCAATCTATAAAAAGAAAGACTCGCTGAATTATTGAAAATGTCTCCTGCACAACGTGATTTATGAATACTTCATGTGACAGAGCACTTAAAACTGCTGCATCTCCAAACCAGCGTGATGAACAAACCAAGAGGAGAGAGTTGCACGGTGACACAGAGGGTCGTGGAGCACAAAATCCTGCCCCCATCACAAAAGGATAATCTAGACCAATGGCAGACAAAAGAAAAAAATAATAATAATCCGAGGTTTGCGATCAAACCTATGAGTTGATTCTGACTTATTCACACAAATGTCGGCCGGCACCTAAATAAATATGAGCAGCCCATTAGCCTCGACCTACTCCTGGTGCTTTAATGTGGGTTTACTGCCTTCAGCGAGAATTACATAATCAAGTTCCCCCATCCATGCATGACTGTCTGGCAATGGAAATATTTAGTCGTGTGCCCATAATGAACGGCGACAGCTTAGCTAGAACCGGCCTGCACTTAAAGCTCCCTTAAGCCAGCGGCCTGTAAATTCTTCATTTTTCCATCCAACAAATTGGGGCCGTAACCCGCGGTGAGCCGACGGGGCCGACGTGTCATTTACCTGCGGGTTGTCCATGAACCACACCAAGCTCCCCTGCTGCGTGTCCAGTATGAAGTAGCGACGCAGGAACTTGCCGCTGCTCTCGTTCTCCTCTATGTCCAGGAAGCCACAGTTGCGGTTCTGTCGGTCCACGTAAGGCATCTCGCCGCCGGGACATTCCCTGGCCTGCCGCGGGCCGGGAGTGGAGGGGAGCTGGGGCGAGGGGGGAAAAAGAAACAACCTGAAGGAAGAGGGAGAGAGGGAGAAAATGAAGAATGTCAGTGGTCTTTGTGGGGAGGCCTGGCAGCGTGACCCACTCCCTCTGTCTCGTCCCCCGTCCACCTGGAGCTCACTAGGCTACAGCCTGCCAGGAGAGATCATGTGACACAAACCCCGCCTGTATCCTTTTATGTACGCCTCACCCACTCTTCCTTTCTCCCCTCTTCTTCTTCTTTCCTCGCGGAATACTCGCTCGCTGCACACCATCACTCACCCGCCCTGGAGTGCTCACTTTCCTTTTTCAGTCCTCTTGCACAGAAAGTCCCTCACGTTCTATGCAATCTCCTCCCAACTGCTCTCTCATCCGATTTGGCAAGCCTCTGGCAAACCCCTTCTATCCCCTCTCGCCCTCCCTCCCTGTACAGCTGAGCACCCACTTGTGCATGGGACACACACATTCAGCTCAGCCATGTTCGACACAAAGAAACAACACAAACGCCCCCAGGATCTGCGCGGAAGATAACGTACAGTCTATTACTTGCGGAGGCTCAACACATCCCTGAACCAACAAAAGGAAAAAAGTGATCGAGCGCGGCCCCATCCGCCATTAACACGCTCGCGTCGATGCCGAAGCCTGTGGGGGCGGCTCACGGAAACTACTGTAGGCATACTGTCGCATCAGCCCGTTTGAGCCACGGCCCTTTTGGACGGAGCCTAAAATATGTGATTGAGATGAGTCTTTGGAAAGCAAAAAGATAAAGACGCTCTTTCTCCAGGACATTATGGGCGCCGTGTGGGTGGACCGGGGGAAACCGAGGGGACAAAAGGCCCGCTTGTTGTGCATGGACTGCGAGCTGAAAGCATCTCGGTTCGCCGCCGCCGCGTCCACCCGAGTCATCGCAGGCACGAGAAAAGAGCAGCACTGTCAGAGGAGCCGGTCGCAAGGCCACACAAGCGGGGATTGTTACGCGAGAGTGAGAGACGCCTCTGTTGGGTTTGGTGATCCTGTTTAAAGAGGCGATGCACACGAGTTCATCTGCATGTCAGCGATGCAGAGTAGATGGTAGAAATAATGCAAAACGGCATCCAAATAAGGCGTCCCGGCACGCTACTTTCAACTCAACGGCCTAATTATTCTTAACCTTTGAGGTGAATAGCAATACTACTGATATTTGAGAGTTTAAAAGCACTCACAAACGAGCAGCGCTCCCTGTGTGAGTCAAGAAAAAGAGAGTGGAACGTACCAACAGAAACTGAAAATAAATAAATAAAAAATAAGGACAAAAGCTGCACTTTCTGGGTCAAACATCCCCACGGTACGCTCACGCTTTACATTTGCTACAAGGCTTTATCCACATGGCAGCCAACTGGTGACACACACACACACACGTCATAAAACAACAGTAAGGACCAGCAGGTAGGCTCAGGATCAGGGTCAATATTGTCCTTCCATGATTTAGACCACTGCTGTGTCAATGAAAGCCACACAACAGCTGTAAATAACTGGAGCGGAAAGTGGATCAGGTTTTATTGCCTCCCAAACCAAATCCGCGATCTAACCGTAGGTGTTGAGATCAGATGCCGTAGTGCACTACAGCAGCAGTCATGCGTTCACTGTAGGAGAGAGATGGACGAAAGGCCTCTGAGGAGGGGATGAAATACTCCACCGCGGTGGAGGAAACCAGAGGCAGTTTAAGGGACTAGTCAATTAGCTGTACAGATCACCGGTTGGACAGGTCGTTCCGGTTGAGCTGAAGGAGTTATTTCTGCACTGAAAGCGGCAGATGAGGCCAGCGGGTTTGACAGGCTTTGGCCTGCTGTGGTTATGTATTTCCAGAGACGAAACTGATGATCACCCATCGGGGGCGGGGGCGATACCCATTAACACAGGCCGTGTGACTCCGGGTTACCAACGCAAGAGGAGCGAACCCGACGAGCTTCCACAAGCCACACGCGGGATTATAACGATAGAATGACATCGACTCACAAACCGCTGGCGTCGGATACCCACGACAACATCGGGCGCGTTCACGCCTCAGCGAGTCCGGCCCCCGAGTTGACTGGAAGACGCGGCTCGGTTGCTAGCCCGCCGCTAGCAGCTAAGCTAGCCGACTTCGCACCAACGAAACCCCTTTTCCCTCGAAACGCGGAACATCGCACGTCACGTCGACGTCCCTTTACTCGCCCGTCGTCGAACCCGCTGCGCGAGCCGGCGTTTTTACTAACGTCTAACCGGGTTTGTGGAATCTCACGTTATGGCGGAGAAGTTTCGCCACACACTGCGACCGAACCCGGCTAACGCTAACCCGGCCACTCGTGTCAGGCAACTTTCGCCGTGGCGAACGACACACTCGATTTCAACTGTTACTGTTACGGGTCCGCTTACCCGGGTCGGAAACCGCTAGTGTAAACGGCCGTCGGTCTCGGTGCTGCTCGGTCTGTCTTCTCCGCCTGAGCCCATCTCCACTGGTCCTGGAGCGACGGAGCTGTTGCTAATGGTGACCGCAGATTGTCTATGGCGAAGAGGATCACTCGGTAGTGAAAAAAAAGTTTGGAATGGAGAAAAAGTTACAGTGTCTTCCAAAACCTGTCCAATGTCTAGGAGTTGAAGTAAAAGTATAAAACTGGTGAGGGGAACACTGCTGTAACGCTGTTCACCTACCAAATGTTTTTTATCCGGGTTTTTTTTTTACCGCCAAGGCAGCCGCATTAGCTGAAACAACAGTCGATACTGCGGATCAATTTATACTAGCGGCAACTGTGCTGCACGCTGTGCCGCATTAATACACAAGGTCACCAGTAACACAAAGCAGTACAGATAACAGCCAGCACAGTACGGTACGATGCCACATAACACACACGCCTAGGAATTAGTTTGGATCAAGCCTGTTAGCCCGTGTTAAAAACAATAATAATAAATAATCACAAAGAAAACCCGGATGTTCACATATGTTGCTTAATTATTGCGATCTTCTTCATTCATAACATCGTACATTCTGGTCTCCGGAAAAGGAGAGTAGAGTGGGATCTCTTGTTTTTTTTAAATCACCTCTGTCGCGTGTGTCAGGTATGAAACGGGCCTTCGAGTGTCACGAGCAGCAGATCTCAGCAGGACGGCGGTGTTTTAGCGACATCTAACGTCTCGAAGCTGCAGCCACGTTGCGCTGTCCCTTTTCAATCGCACGTTGACGTTTTGTCATTGCGTAAACAAAGGAACTATTACTTTTGTAGTGACAGGCCCATCTTGTTACTGCTGCTGATCATCTGTTTGGCTTTCGGAATGGAGACTCCGACTGGGTATAAGCACTGTCTGCATCCACATGCTTCAAGGCTTCACATTGTTTTTGCTAATCGGGCTGAAAGCTTTTCAGTGATATTTTCATTCCAAATGGCACGCTGATTCGAATTATATCATTGCAATATACATTTTTACCATTTTTTGCGTCGACATTTGCACCCAGGTGAGAGAAATCACACATTACATAGCATTATTATTAATATGCTACAGCACATTATTTTGCCAAAAGGGTCATTTAGCATTTGAAGAGAACGGGTTTTGCAGTCAGTGATGTCATGAACATGCAGCCACCAATACCTTTCACAAGTCCTGACTGTAGTCGGATCAATCTATGTCCCCCAGAGGCGATGGGTGTTAACAAGCACAGAAAACACACACACACACACACACACACACACACACACACACACACACACACACACACACACACACACACACACACACTTTTTTTTTCTGCCACAGAAGAACAGTTTGAGGGGGAGGAGTGAGTCTGCTGATGATGTTAATGAGAGTCATATCAAGTTGCCCCCCCCCCCCCCCCCCCCCCCCAGCGTGTATGTAAATAGTTTGCCCCTAGAGAACAAAAAAATTTCATAATGTGGGGGGGTGACCGAGACTCCCACCCGGAGATGAAGCACTTCGCTCTGCCCTGGCCTCTCCCCAGGTGGGTCCTTCAGTGACGTCTCGGGATTCGTTCCAGGGTCTGATCAGCTCCCGGGGTCGCGGTCAGGTAGGCGGAAACCAATCCTGAGCAAAGTTGAGCGTGCCACCCTAAACTTCGATTCGACCCACATGTGTTGATGTATGATACCCTCTTATTTTCAGCTGAGCTGTTTCGTTGCATGTATAAAACTGTGGCTTCCTGCTCTCCTACTCAGAAAAAACGTACCCCTTCACTTCCTCTCACATTTAACACACAAGATGTCTATATTTACTCATTATGTACAGTGTTGTCTCCTTTGTTGCCGCCGATTTATTCTCGCAAAACATTATAAACCACTACTTTTGTGGTGAGATAGTTTTTTCCCTTTGTAAGAGACTTTCATTTTGAAGTTCATCATCACAAAAAGCAGTGTAGCTATTGGAAGAAGGGGTGTGTTATAAAACACACCTATCTAACCACGCGAGTCACACAATGGCTTGAATGGAGAAGCTGTGCTGAGGGATTTTAGGTTAAACACACCAGTAACTGGAATTTAAGGTTAAAGTTATTTCAAGTTATTTCAAAGTTCGAATAGTAAAAAATCAAAGAGTACATGCATTTTTTTGTTAATGTACATTAGCGAATATATTTTTAACCTTTACGTCACAGACGGATGTCAAAAAGCTGTCTGACGCAGAAACCCACCCACAGGCATTGTAGTGCATTGGCCACAGTGTTAACCGTGTGCATCCTCAGCGTCTTACTTAAATGTCACCGTTTAGCTGCTTGAGGCCTTCGGTTGTGGAGCCCTTTGCAGGCTTGTATATCATTTCAGTGGTTAGAACCACTTCCTCTCAGCACGTCTTCAGTGTTTAAGCCTCAAACTAACATGGCTGCACTCTGACTTTCACTGCAGCCATGACGTTTTTAATGTACTGCTTTTCCACGAGGGCTATCTTCCTCTGCAGTCTGAATTGTTTTTATTGTAACATTTAGGTAATACTCGTATTAGAAGTTGCAGGTTTCTTGATGGCCTGCAGCAGGCACAGGCAGTGTGCTGTGTTTATGGAGAGAGCTGTAATTACAGGAAATGACCATGAGTGGAGCGTCAGGAAATTAGATAGTCCGAAGATGTTGTTTATGTTTCTTGTAGGCCGGGATTTTGGGCTTCATGCTTAAAACGGCCAAAGAGTAACTGAAAATTAAACACTATATCGATTACATAGAGTCTTACATTCTTCATGTGTAACTCTCACATTATCTATTTTAATAAAGGTTCATGAAATGACAATTTTTAATTTTACTGAAAATTATTTACCAGGGAAATCTACAAATATTTCTATGTGAGAAAAGCAGCTTGTAAATGAAGCAGAAGGGGGAGCTAATTCACCATGTGCATTAAAATGGCACCTCACGGCCACGTGATGTCCTTTTACAAGGGGAAGCTTCAAAAGCAGCAGCATTGGAACAAAGCATGCAGAGTAAATCCTTCTTCATGCTCAAGTTCAAACGTAACAGTGTTTCTCTCTAAAGAAATAATTACAGGGCTCTTTTTTTTATATCTCATCATTGTATATACAATGATGAGATGATAATAGCTGAAAGGAGGGTACGTTTTGATTTCTGCGTAGTTTATTTTAATTGAGCAAGAAAGCATGAGACTACACATACAATGCAGCCTACAGGCTTGATAGTAAGTCAATAATTTGTTTTTAAATGTATTATTTATTTATGTCCACTTATTTGTTCCCGGGTATTAACGTTGGTCTTTTAAAGCTCAGGAGTTTAAATAAACCAATAATTTCCTCCCATCACTCCACAAATATCTATTTATATGGAGTTCAGTTCTTTGGCTGATTTAATTGATGGTATAGTTATTGCTTCCTCAACGCGTCTTGACCTATTTGTCAAATAATGTTGTTACAAATGTTCAGGTGGACACAAAAGTGTGCAGGAAGATCGACGACATTCAATTCTTCCTTTTGAAGAGCAGACGACGCTGATTTTTCATACCCTGTTGTCTATAGCTATTCTAATATAAGATCAGGATGCCTTAATGTGTGTCTCCATAAGAACTTGAGCACGCACACGTATGCATTTGTGTATGTGTTTGTAAAAAAAAAATCAATCTGGGATAATGTGTAGGCTGAGATGCTCTTTGCAATCCGTTGTAAATGGCATGCTGTCCTCCGGATGGGCGCTGTAGCACTCTTGTAATTACACAGGCGGAGACAAGAAGAAGAGAAGACAGGGATAAAGACAAAGGAGAGAGAGGGACGGGGGGCAATTGATTTCTTCACAAAAGAGAACAATAAAGGAGAAAAAGGGAAGACACAAAGAGAAATTTGAGGAGGCGAAAGAATGATGAAATAAGCGCTGAGAGGAGGCAAAAAGGCGACAGGGTGATTGGGGACAAGGAGAGGACACACGAAAGGCGAGGAGAAGAAGAAGAAGAAGACGAGGAGAGCAGAGGAGTGTGCGCTTGCTGGTACTCTCCTCAAAATAACATTGATTACGGACCCTTTTAGTCAGCTATAACTACTTGTTAAATGTAGTGTAAAGCAGAGAGCGGCCCGCCCCCTTCCCTGCCCACTCACAGTCCATTCTCAGCCACTGGCGTAACCGCGGTAACAGCCACGGATGTACCCCAAAGGTTCTTTAATTAAAGGCCCCACATCATCGTTCATGTCAGTGATTGCCTCAGCGTTTTCAAATCGATTGGTGTATTTTATGTGAGTAAACCGTTTTCAATGTGTCATTTGCATAAGGCCTCGTTTGTAAAAGCTTGAGATAAACAGACCCGTGCGAGGATGTTCTGTGTTTGTGAAAACAGTTTACAATGAACATATAGCAAAATAAATAATACAGTTTAGAGATTCCAACTAAACAAACAAGACCAAGGCTCTACAGCGATGCGATAGGCATGATAAATGCTATGAGATCGCTATGTGCTGAAGCTCACAAGTGGGGCGGGAAGCTCTTTAAAGACTCCTTAGAGACTTTGATTGACGCTTTAGATCATTTTGACGTTGCTTGTTTGAGAATTCTTTAGCAGGAGGTTCGAGGAGGATGACGCGACTTTTAACACGTGTTTCCTGTTTCCGACTGACATTTAACAATGGCTTATTTTAACGACGACCGTTGTTGTTTCCCCGCCAACATGGTCATCGATGTAGCCATGGCAACCAAGGTTCCACGTGCACTAACCCTATCACCGAAGAGAGCCCTTAACCACAACGGTGTCAGATCACAAAGGCGTATTTCCTCTTCGGCAGTGGCGGGTAACAGTTTGTGGAGGTCACCGAGCAACGGACGTCTCTATGTGTTGTTCCAGGTGGCACAAACTGACTTTATGATGTAATTTGTTGCCCTGAAGCGACACCATGTGATTGTAATGGTGGCAGACGGCAGGTGATCGCAGCAGCACACAATCAAGGTGTTTGCGCGATCACACGGCTGTGTCTTAATCTCGATACATTTCAACAAACGGACTTTCTCATGTGCATCTCTCTCCTCTCATCACACCCTCTACCCGTCTTTCGGGTGGACTGTATGTGTCGTTCTCACAGTTAATGGTGAGA